ATTTTCGGGGCTGGGCCGGGGCGTGGATCCCGGGGCTGGGCCGGGGCCTGGATCCCGGGGGCTGGATCCTGGCTGGGGCCTGGATTTCCGGAATCCAGGTCAGGTTCTTTGGAAAGGGCCAATTACTCTATTTTAACTTGATATATAAAGGGTAAATATTGGATTATCATGAAAACCACACACAAATTAACTGTTTTCTCAAAAATTTATTACTCAATCAATGAAACATTACTTTTCATACTGTCAGAACACAATTCAATGGAAATACAATTGTGATGCGATCAAGCTAAACGAGTCGTTCGTCAACCCTGGTCAATTTGTTTTTTACAAATTGAAAAGAGCACAATCTTAGCATTACTGCTTTGATAACTGCATGCGCGCACCATCTTTAGTTTAAAAAAAATATGGTCGGAACACCAAGAAATATGATGAAGTGATGTGATGAAGTGGTCCTATTTTGGCCTGAATATCCAAAGGACTCGTGTAGCCTGATCGCATCACATAATCAAAATGTTGGCTATATTTCTAATTTTTTTCAAACTCCAAAATGTCAAGTGGTTTATCCCCTTAAAAATTTTGGCAAAAATAGGCTGCTCAGTTGGAAAATCAAGATTAGTTGGTGCCGGGGCTGGGCTGAGGCAGTTTGAGTACAAATTGGGTAAAATATTGATTTGCTGGAAAAATAAGGGGTTACTATTGTCTTTCGATGAAAATTAGGTATGACGTTCAAAACTGTAAGGGGATAAACCTTGCATTTTTCTTTACATCGCACAAAATGTGACTGCCTGGGAAATAACATGTAATAGGGATTAATTAGATATATTTAAGCTGATCAATTGCTTTTGTAAACATTACAACACTTTTATAAGGTTGTGTCTCGATTGCAAACCTTAACATCCTGAAAGTTAACATCGTATGTGTCAATGCAATACGCCATATCATTGTGTTACTAGTTAAAACATTTATCTTGAAATTCATCAAAAATCATATTCTTGATTTGATACATGATCAATTCCGTTTTACCTGCATTTTTCAAGCATTTGATGCTTGAAATCTTTATCTAAAGATCGTATGTTGATTCATTTAACATCTCTTTGATCCAAAATAGCAGGGGATAACAAAGATCTGAAGAATTTGAACATGTTTCTGAAGAAATCCGCCAACAGTAACATTATCTTTAATGAGCCGCAGAAATTTACTCAACCACCACATTTTTCTCAAAAAAGATTCAAACTGAGATGCGACGTTTTTGCACTGACACAACGATACATGGATATTTGTAATTATTACAGACCAAAAATGACTTAAAACGACCCTTTATTTTCAAGAGCCAGAGAAATTGCACAATTAATGTCAAAATTCACTCCTATTTTATGGATGCCATGCATGAATAGACAAATCTGGACGCAGCCATTTTCTGCGGTGGTGCAAGGTTCATGTGAGTGGAACGCATGCATTTCGGGCTCCTTTGGCTTATAGGAATACCAAACCGCGCATGCGCCTCGTCTTTAAGAACGCATGCAGCATGCGCGTGAGCATGACACCGCAGAAAAAGCTTCTTATTCTGGTCGCTGAATTCCACTATAGCTTTTTAGAGCGCTTTGCGAGCACTTTCCAAAGCCCCAGCAGAAGGGACGTATCACACAGCCTTCCGGTTTAAAGAGGACTAATTATATTCTGAACATGCTCAATGTGTATCATATCTTGTGTGAGCTGCCAGCATAACACTACAGGGTGAGAAAAAAAAAAGAGGAAACCCAAATGTCAGGACCATTTTTGTAATGAAGTTCTGTCCATGGATCACAAAAAATTCCGCAATTTGGAAAGTACAAAAGTGATTTGAATGATTCTTGTACTAAAAGAACGCTTATTAATTGGGCTTTCATATCCTACATTGTGAAAGTGCTACATGCGGAACTTGATTTAACAAATGGTCCTGCCAAATGGTTAACCCTTTTTTTAGACTCACCCTGCATGCTTACAAGATCACTGTTTAAATTTAACCACTTTAATATGAATATATCCTAACAGATTGCATTATTTTACTGTAACTGGTCTCAACATATGAAAATTAGAGGTAAAAAAGTGGGACATTTTTCGTGTCTCTGTTACACCTGACCTATGTACTTTGTGATGCCAGTTATTAACTCTTTCGCTACGGCGAGCCGCTGACAGCGGCTCATACAAATTGTACAGGTCGTATGGACAGCCGCTGGCAGCGGCTCGGTTGCGTCGCAATGAATAAACATGATGTCCCCATGATGTGGGCCTTATCTACATAATTTATATTGTATAACCTCTGACCCTAGTTTGAGCCGCTGACAGCAGCTCTCCGTCTGGCCGAGGTGCGCTTTTTGTTATTGTGAGCAGTTTGTTTACGGAGATACATTTCAAGATGGCGGCGCCAACATCGACGCTCGGCGGAATTTTCAGCTTTTAATTACGTCCAGTTGGGACGAAAAAGGTAAATTAAATTCCGTAGCGAAAGAGTTAAGGATGTGCACGACGTTTACACATTTAATTAACGTTTAAATGAAACAAATTCTAAAATCCATGGCATGGCATTTCCAAAGCATTCAAGCAAAACACCAATTATTAGTAAAGAGGCACAGGGACAGAATTGTGCATTTTGTGATAAAAGCATAAAACTTTGGCAAATAATATGGAGGCATTTCATATCTGAACCCTGGTGACCTATGAGGGGTCAATGACCTTTGAATACTCTATTTATACCTGTTGCTCTTGAAAACATCACTTTCATATGACCTAAATCTATGTATAGTATTCATTCAATGTAAATAACAGCGTGCAAAGAGCGAATAGCATGAACACCTTTCGGACATGAATTGTAAAAAAAAAAGACCTCTGATCTCAATTTTTATAAGGGCAGACGCAGGTGCAATAGAACTTAAGAGGTACATCGGACAAGCATCACTATCTAACAGTGACCATTGGGCTTGGTAAAAAGGTTAAAAATGTGGTAAATACAAGTCCATCTTGATACAACATGGTGTAATAAGTAGACAAGAGTGAATATTGCTTGACATGTACATTTTCCATTACAAAGCAGACCCACAGGTTTCTATTCGCATATCATTAAATTGTCTGCCAATAAAACAAGGAGAAACGAGGTCAGAGGTCACCTCAAAATTGTTTGAGGGGTCTGAATTCATAACATGACTGTAAACTAATTGGTGCAATACCGTTTTTTGGCACTATTGAGGCTTGGGTTACGAAAAAAATGGCATTTCGACAATAAGTGTAATAACGGCAACTAAGATATACATAATCCATTGACCTCTCAAAGGGTATCACTACGTCAAATATGATGTTCCCACATCTGAAAGTTCTTTTTATGGCACAAAGAGTCAAGCTTTAGACTTGGGTTGTGATAAAAAAAGGCTTTTACAATTGTGTATCTTATTAATATCCGTGGTAGGCTATGGTTTTACAAAGGTCATGACCTTCTGTAAGGTCACCAAAGATTGAATATGAAATAGCCTATGCATAAAAATTCTCTTTAAGGCATGGACACCTTTCATTTAGACTTGAATCATGAAAAAATGATAAGGTTTAAAGAATGAATCTTACAAATAGCTATAAACAGGTTTACAAAGGTAATTGACCTCTCAGAGGTCACCAGAGGTCAGATTTGAATTGTTCCCACATCTGATCATTATTTTTTGTGTATTAAGACCTATGGCATAGACTTGGGTCATAGGAAAGTGATGTTTGAAGAAAATAAATATGAATAGTGTACATGTATGTCAAGACATTTCATTGACCTCTCAAGGGTCACCAGAGGTCAAATATGAAATGCCTCCATATCTGAATATTTTCTTCAAGGCATGAAGAACCAGCATGTGAAGTTTTATGCTTTTATCACAATTTGCACAATCCTTTAACATATTGGGGCTATGCCGCACCACTAAATACAAAAAAGGACCTATGTCAATGTGATCTTCCTTTGGGTTTAACATACATAGCACAAATAATTAACAACGTTTTCAAACCTATTTTGTTTACAAAACCTCACAAGCAATGCAGTACTTGATTACATTTGAGGTAGACGTAGTTAAGTTTTTACTTTTGCAATGACTGCCCACTATTTATAATGTCGATCATTGTTGATTGATCATGTCAGTTACGCCAGTCTGCAGACATAATGGCCAGGCGAATTGTGAATGGCTAAACGTTTAAACGGTTCGTAAAATATTTGCTAAACGTTTACAAAATTCAATTACAAAGTCACAACCTTAATGCCAGTATTATTAAACTCGACTTCAAACAATTTTTTTGGCAGGTACTTTGGTTGCAATACAGGGTGGTAAAAAAGGACACCCACATTTGACAGCAATTTTCACCTATTTTTAAAAACTATTTTTAACTGTCGATTATTAGCTATTAAAGTACTGGCCTTTCAGCAAATGTGACGAAAAAAATTGTTGCATTTGCAGGTTTTGTCGTTGAGCTATGCTCATTTGAACATTCCATGTGCGAAACCTCTTTGTCCACGGAGGTATACAAAGTCATGTACTCTCAACACAAAATGCACCAATGCATGCTTGAACATTATCATTTGAAAAAACGTGCTATTAAACAATGAAGCATATCTTAACATTTGAAAGGGCATGACATTTGATTGTTACGTTATGTAATGTTATGCAACAATGAACTTAAGCCGACAGCTCATTGAGTAGATGATCTTAACACTGACATGAATAATTGGACAGCTTCACTAAAAGTTACCAGGGCAAATATTTTGGTGGGAAGGTTTTTAAATTTTTATGAACTGCGAACACGTCAAATTTTACACAGAATAACCCGTGGACAAGACTGATTTTGGTGACTTGTATTCAAATTAGCATAATATCACTATATTTGCGACTCTTACTAAGCTCTTTTCACCATGCATGGTTAAAGGCCTATACTTTACTACTATGTGAAACAATATTTAAAATAAGTTCATGAAGTAGTTGAAAATTGCTGTCAAGAAAGGGTGTTCTTTTTTTAATCACTTTTGAAGGCATAAAACATTGTGTCCAGCAGCCGATTTCATGAAACTTTATGCGATGGCGTAACTCCACTTGCGGCACATTTTATTGCGTAATTTGTTCAACATTTCACGCTGCGCAACAATTCAGTTATGACAATCATGAAAGAGTCACAGTGCGTAACTTGCCCAATCATTTTAGATGGCGTAAAATGGACGTAGCGACTGAAAATGATGTACTTTACCAACAAATCGTGACTGTTGTGGAGCCTGTAATTGCACAACTTATCAACACAAGACACTCCACAGCTTTGTGTTTGGATAAAACGAATTGCTATTTTACTTGTGACAGAACTTTTTGAGCAACCATTTTTCCGAAGAAAGTCTGACAAAACTATTTCCAAAATTGTGGTCAGTGGTGAGTCAACAACTGTTTCATGAACGAACAAATTCATACTCAAACGGCTGCTATAAAAGCTGTTGTATCCTCGGCCAAGATATTTATATGATTTAAACATTACGTAGCTATGCCAAGGTTCATGAATATGAATACCAATAGTAAGTTTATTGCGCTGCCGCAAAACAAATTTGTTGCATAAGTCCTACGCATGGCGTATTAAAGTAATGCACTGTTTCGTGAAAACGGCTGCTGAATTTACAAAATGTTACAACAGATTTAACAGAGACACAAAGAAAAATTGGATGACAAATGTATGAAATAAACCATATAAAACCAGTACTTGAGGTCATACACAGTGAAGGGACAAAAGACAGGCATGCAACTTGAATTTAGAGAAAAAAACAAGGAAACTTCAAACCACACAATTTGTTTTTCAATTTGAAATGGCATTCATTAAAAATGCAAACGAGAAAACGGATCAGAGTAAATCGGCGGATCCGAGTAAATCGGCGGATCCGAGTAAATCAGCGGATCCGAGTAAATCAGCGGATCCGAGTAAATCAGCGGATCCGAGGAAATCAACGGATCCGAGTTAATCAGCGGATCCGAGGAATCGTTGTATGCCAGAAAGGAATGGCTGGGGCGCCCTCTATTGGCGCAATATGGTCAGGAGTGGTACCAGTATTAAAGCTGTGGATTTCTAGCGCTGAGTGAAGTACCGATACTGAGCGTTATACTTGTAGGGTTTAGAGCGGCCCCTACCCCTGTGGATGAAAAAGAAAAAGAAAACAAAAACAAACAAAAAAGTGAACAAAAGTGTCAGGAACCAATTTTTATGGAACTACTCGGCAGAGAAATATCACTGAGCCAATTTGTGCATGAGGCAAACACTAGCTGGGAACCAGTGTCAAGCAGTAGATTTATCACACAAATTTTGGCTGGTAACCTGTTTTTATTGACGTTGCATATAATTCCTGTGCCTAGAAAGTTTCTGTGTCTAACAGCTCAAAGAAATTAGTCACTAGCAAGCATTATGTTCTAACGTAACTCATTAATAACTGCACGACCCTTAATGTAATACAAGCAAGCACAATGAAATACAAGTATTAAAGCACAATGTAATACACACATGTACAATGTTAAATAAAAGTGTTTAATAGGTTTCAGTGTAATAATGGCATATAAATCCCAGGGGCCAATTTCACAGAGCTGCTTAAGCACAAAATTTGCTTAAGCACAAAAAACGTCTTGCTTAATAAAATCAGGTTACCGGCCAAAACTCCATGCGATTGTTATGCTAAGTAAACAACCGCTAAATACCAGTCACAAGCAATGTCCATCACATGGAGTTTTGGCCAGTAACCCAATTTTACTAAGCAATGTTTTTTCGTGCTTAAGCAAATTTTGTGCTTAAGCAGCTCTATGAAATTGGGCCCAGATTTCACACTGCTCTACCAAAGCAATTAAAGATTGCGACCTAACATCCCCCCCCCCCCCATTCCACATCTTTCCCACGCCCCCAAAATCCCAACCTACCTAGTCAGTCGTATGAACATCTTTTCCCGGGCGAATTCGGTGGGTCCCTCTGCTCCCTCCCCCTCCCCTCTGGTCTCCACGTACACGTCGAAGCACATGAGCAGTCGCTGCAGCTGATTGGACAGCAGGTAGTCATGTGACTTCTCTGTGACCAGCTCGTCATAATGGAGGTTCAGCTCCGATTCCAGATCCTGGTAAAAAGAAACGACAAAAACAAAAATTTTCCTAATGCATATATTTTACCACAATCAATACGAACAAGTCACAAGACTGCAGTGTACCATGGGATATTTCTTTTAAAGATCACCTTTTAACTTGTATTTTTTATGGCTGAAATGTTAAAACTTTTTTTTTACCGCTGAATTCGTTTTCGATGTTGTAGATTAATAAAAATGCAGATAATCTTCAAAAATAGTCAATATTTGCCACTTTAAAGTGGCAGATATTTAAAGGGCCCATTACTTCAATTTTACTTGGGCTCATATTCTGCGCAATATTTTACTCCTCTTTAATATGTGAAAAATATTTGACATCCGTGTTTGGTTAAGTTTATTGAAACATGCACTTCTTTAAACAATTCAAATTGTCCATGTTTTTCTTGACAATTGAGGGCGCTGTTGCTGTGATGTCATTTCAGGAAGACAGTGTTCAGTTTAAGGGGTTTTCTCTTGTGAAAATGTGAACCCAAAATTTGCTCATTGAAACCATTGTGGGAAAACTTTGCTCATTGGCCTAATGGAATGTAATGAAACAACAAATCAAAGAAAAGAAAATTTATGACAGAAAAGTATCCAAAATTGTGACAAATTTAATACTGAAATAGCTGAAACATTGAGGTTTCTGTCTGAAATTGACATCACACTTTTCCTCATGAATTTGCAAATTCGCATTAGCATGAAACCAAAATGGCAACAAAATGCCCTTAAAAATGGCAAATCGAAAACTGGAAACAAGGTTAAATGGGACACAAAGGTACATTTCTAAGGATTTTTTTTTTTTACGTTACATGGGTTTACATTTAAATATCGGGTTTTGCCCGTCACCGACGTAACTTTACAAATATGTATACTCAGTGCGGTCCAAGAACCTGTGAACAAAATCCACAAGCTCGCTTGGTCTGGAATCGAACCAACAACCTTCCGCTTACTAGTGCAGACCGTCCATGCAATATACTGCCTTTTTTTTGAGACTGCGAACATAATGTTAGATAACTCAGTTGGTAGAGAACTGGTATGGTATTTTCTAAGGTTTCCAGTTCGATTCCCCATCAGTCACACTTCTTTACTCACCCTGATGTCATTGTCATTGCTGTGATTGTGCTCTCCCGTCAGCGTGACACCGATGACAATGTGAGGAGGGCATCGTGGGTAATCTACGCTCAGCAGAACGGCTGCTTTGAGAATAGCTGTACAAAATATGATAATGTGGCAAGGTTTAGTTATAGATGTTAAATATTTCCCGTGTTCTTGTTATCTTTTTGGGTGTGGCGCACTGAAAATAATTTAAGCAATTTAGGTTTAAAGGGATAATGACATGAAAGAAATAGGAACAAATTTTTGTGCAACTTTCTACTTCTCTTTAACGTATGAAAACAATTTGACATCCCTTTTGGTTCATATTAAACACTTAAAAATTTCACGCTTTTCCTGACAACTGAGGGCGCTGTTGCTGTGATGTCATTTCAGGCAGACATTGTTCAGTTCAGGGGTTTTCTGTTGTGAACCCAAAAATTTACTCAAAGAAACATTTGAGAGTTTTCCTCATTGGCTTACTGCCACGTACTGCCACAATGACGAATCACCAAAGAAAAGACAATTTTTGACAGCAAAATATCCGAACTTCAGCTATCTTTTGGTGCTGAAATAAAAACACCCTTAAAAATTGCAAAACAAAACTTGAAAATGGAAAATTGAAAATGGGACACAAAGGTGCATTTTCAAGGATTGCATGAGAAACAATTACATTACATTGGTAAAATGTCAGTCAATTTAACATGAGCATCAAAATAAGGCATTGCACACATAAAAATCAGACTACAGCAGTACCTTTAATTAAGTTTCAAATAAAAAGAATTAAACATACCAGATCCTCTTGAACATGTTGCCAGATAGAAATGCTGGTAGTCCTCTGCGAGTTCTAAAGCTGGTGATCTCTGCATGAACAGCAAAGCCTGAAAAAAAAAAAAATTCAAACATAGAGTTACATGATAAGTGTACTTCCTCTGCAGCCATATTGGTCTGGTACCTGGTATTAATTCTAGCCTTGTTTTAAGAATACACTAGAGGTGCCTGCCTGGATCTGTGGCCATCTTTGTATAGCACCCTGAATGCAAGCTGGTATTTCTAGCAATAGTTTCAGACTACTAGAGGTGTCTGTCTGAATTTTTGGCCATTTGGTTTGGTACCCTGAATTCAAGTTAACTTTTCTAGCCTTGCTTTTCAAATTTCAGAGTACTTAGAAAACCTCTCACAAACATTCAGAAAAGGGGAAATTCTTCATTAAAACTGAAGATTAAGTCTTTTCTATTAAACAGAATGCAGTACAAGTCATAAACTTTCCGGGACTTTTTATTGTTTACGATGAATAGCTTACTTGGAAATCTTCCTTGGTGATTGTCGCCCATGAGGTTAGTCTGGCCGCTATCTTGGCCGGGAAAAGACCCACAGACTGGGCTGGTACGGGCACCGTGTTACGCTCTGAAACATAAAATGCAAAGAATATAGGACGTATTCACAACAAGAATGAAATTGACATCAAGAGATATGAATCTTATTTGGCAAGAACAATTTATTTAGAATCACTGAACTATGGCGGCTTTCTGAGGTACAACATGCTGGAATGGTAAGTGACCTTTTTTTTTGGATACCATAATGTTAAAATTTAGATTCGCAACAAATTCTGAGAATCAGAAAACTTTGTGTCCCTAAGAAAGGTAATTAATCACAATTTGTTTTACTTCACACCAAAGCGAACTTTATCAAAAACCAATGCACGTCAAATGGTAGGAAGTGGGATTATTTTTATGATATTTGTGTCCCTGAGCAAGGTAATTAACCACAATATCTTCACTTTCTTATTCAAGGAAGATTCGTACCCAAGGAAGTCAGTTGTTTTGTCAAGGCCAGACGTGCCCGGGTGCGGGATCGTAAGGCTTTGAGAGTTGATTCCATGTGACTAGTGCTGATAGCTGTTGTTGCTTTTGTTGCTTCGCTGTCCTCTGGTAGGAAGTCTAGACCGGCCAGCCACTGGGCCCAGCGATATGGGTGGCCGGTCTTGCCGATGTAGGAACTCATAGAATCCATGCTGTACAAGGAGGTATAAATAATAAGTGGGCTATTGAGACCAGCGGTGTCTGTGACAGGTACTACTGAAGTGGGAATGACACTGAAGAATGAGCTTATCGAATGCATGCTATACAAGGAGGTATTGAGAATGAGTGGGCTATTGAGATTAGCGGTGTCAGTGACAGGTACCAGTGAATTGGAAATGACACTGAGGAAGAGAGCTCATAGAATCCATGGTATAAAAGGAGGTATAAACAATGATGGGCTATTGAGACTAGCGGTGTCTGTGACAGGTACCAATGAAATGGATATTACACTAATGTATGAGTCACGCAATCCATATAGTTTAGGGAGGTATAAATAATCAGTGAGCTGCAATGACCTATAATTTCATGACGTGATACAAAGGCAAAGTGATATAAGATTTGAGGCTTTGCATGGTGGGGTATCGGCATCGTTTCGGTTTGCGGTAACACCATGTGGTAATAACTACTGCTTAGAAGATATTCGTTCTGAAAAGAACTTGTCCTGCTTATTATCAACTTTGCTAAGTAGTTTTTTGGTTCTGTTAAGAACAGTCCCGCTGTAAGTTCTAAACGAACTTGTCAGGCAAAGTGGAAACAATTGGAAAATGTTCAAGATACAGTAGTGACAAAAGAAAATAGCTTGCAATGAAATTTGGGCGAGCAGTATCTCCCCATGACAAAAATGAAGGCTTTCAGCAGTAAATCATGACCCTTCATGATTTCACTCATCTTCAAAATCAAGCACAGAAAGGAAGACAATAGTTCAGAAACGTGGAATGGTAACAGAATTCACTCTATGGAATCTTACCCTAATTTGCTGAACTGGTAAGCGTTTGATGCATTGGGTGAGACAAGTCCGGTATCCCCTGGGTGGAGACAGCTTAGCAGGCGGTCGGGGGAAAGAAGATCACTGCGGAAGAGAGATCATCAAAACAGGTTACCAGCTAAAACATACTGCAATGTATAATGCTTTTGACTGGTTTTCAGCCGTTTTTTTTGCTAAGGCTCATAAATTTGCTCTTTACAGAAATTAGCTGCTTAGCAAAAACAGGTTACCAGCCAAAAGGGAAATGCAATGTAAACTGCTTTTGACTGGTTCCCTGCTAATGTTTCGCTCAGCGTATAAATTTGCCAAGCCAGAAACCTTACTCAATCCTTCAAAATCCACCACAGTGCAGGAAGTCAATGGGACACTCTTTGTATGTACCAAGTTTGAAGTTGCATTGAGCCCCATGTAAAGTAATAGTGGCTGGGCTCTACCATCCTCAATACTACAAAATCCTCCACTATGCAGGAAACCAATGGCACAGGAATTTTCAAGGGGCAAGTAAAGTAACAGTGGCCGGGTTCTGCCTTCCTCAATCCTACAAAATCCCTCAAAAACTGGTGGAATATGAAGGATTTGGGAGGGTAAGAGTTAGAACTTAGTCTGATTTCAGCACTGTCAACCAACCTTGTGACTGTCGTCGTCTTTGCTGCTGAGGATAACTTTAGGTCGACGCCAACCGAGACAATGTGGAGCGATGTTAGGTAGGAGAATGTCAACGTCAGAACGGAGCCATCTGTGGATGAGAGATTATCAAAAGTTATTCACAACTTCTCACAAATTGATCACATGCCATCACAAGTCAGTCACAAATCAATCACAATTCATAGCTCACTACAAGTCAAGCATATCATCTCAAGTCAATCACAACCTATCACAAGTCATCACAATTAAATTACAAATTAATCACAAGTGATCACTAGTTATCAAATTGAATTAAATCACAAATCAATCACAAGTGATCGCAATTAAATCACAAATCAATCACAAGTGATCACAATTAAATCACAAATACCTCACAAGCCATCACAAGTGATGACAATTGAATCACAAATCAATCACAAGTCATCACAATTAAATCACAGATCAATCACAAGTCATCACAATTAAATCACAGATCAATCACAAGTCATCACAATTAAATCACAGATCAATCACAAGTCATCACAATTAAATCACAGATCAATCACAAGTCATCACAATTAAATCACAGATCAATCACAAGTCATCACAATTAAATCACAAGTCATCACAAGTCATCACAATTAAATCAGAAATCAATCGCAAGTGATCACAAGTCAATCATGAGTCATCAGTGTCATCATAAAGTTAATTGCATTCAAAGTATTCAAAAGAACAATGACATATTCCCTTGTCGTTGTTCATGCCCTGCTCTTTGTAAATGACATAAAATGACTTTTTAGGACCTTTGATGACTTGTGTTTGGCTTGTGATTGACTTGTGATGTCAATGATTGACAAGATTTACATGTGAAAGTTCTGCAAATTTCAGATTTTGAAGAAAAGCCAAGATCTTACCTCTAAACTTCAGTGTCATGATGACTTGCAGTGGGTGCTTGGCCAGTAGCTTCTGTCTCTTCTCTTCCAGTTTATTCCCAACGGTCTTCCGTCTCCGCTTCTATCAAGATGCAAAAGAAACAAAAAAAAATTATTTTTGAATGAAAATCGCTCTCAATCATCATTTCTTTTTTAGAAGCATGACAACTAACCTCAATTTATTCCATTTCTCAACAGAGTGAGCCTTACCAAAACAAAAACCCAGGCAGGTTTTATGGTAAGAATCTGCTTTACTTCACGGTTTATGTCCCTGGTTATGGTAGGAAGAACCATGCATGATTTGTGTTCCTGAGCAAGGCAATTTACCACAATTTCTTGTATCCTAACTTAAGTAAACCTTGGGAAAATTCAGGTCATATGATAGGAAGAATCATTATTTCATGACTCGTGCTCCTGGGAAACACACCAAACCACAATGTCGACATTCCTTGATAAACTAAACATTGGACAAATGAAGGTCGTATAGTACGAAGAAGCATTATTTCACAATTTGTGTCCATGATGAGCAAGCAATTAACCACAAGTTCTTTTGCCTATCAACAAAGTTACCCTATAAAAAACAGATGCAATTCAGAAAAAAAAAGATAAGCAGGATTATTTCACATTTGTGTCCCTCAGCAAGGCAATCAACCACAATTATCTTCTATTCTACAACAAAGTGAATTATAAATGTGGGTTCCATGGTATGAAGCAGTATTTAATTTATAGCCTGGGCAGAGCACCCAGCATAGTAAACACACAATATCAAGTTAGAAGTAACATTCACAAGAGAGGTTTTTTCCCCCCAAATTTCATCTGGTAGTCTTACTGATTGGGTGAGGCTCTCCTCATTATCAGAGTCGCTTTCTTCCTCAATGACCGGCGATGCAGAGCCGGCAGATATCACCGCATCCTTATCACCCTCAATCTTCAGCGACATGGAAGAATCTGACAAGGAACCAAAGGATTCAAACAAATTTGAGGGCACAACATTCAATCCTAACAATTTTTTTTTTTCCGGAGGCAAAATGACAATTTCACAGAACAAACATGTAGGGGACACACAAGCATTCAAGGGTGGAGGAGAAACACAAAGGAGGGATTAGGCAGGGGGGACCAGGATTAGGCAGGGGGGACCAAAACCCCCCTATCACACCCCCTATCACATTAAGATGGATTAGATGAAGTCAAGGGCCCAGTATCACCTCTGAGTGCCTGAAACCAAAGCTAGAGACAAGCCCGAAGATTCGTAAACACCCACATGCTACTATTCTATTGCTCTATACAATCGGCACCCACAATGAACAACAATGGAGACTTTTTGATTATGGTTTTACTCCCAGGACATTGCTTGTCAATAGAGGGCGCTTACCTCTAGCCTCCTGGTAAGCGCTGGCCTGGACGTACAAGATGTACAGCGGCCTCGGGAGCAGTTTGGCTGTCTGGTGTTGGGCACGGATCTCGTGTATCGGCATGGAGAGGTATTCCTGGACCGGTATGGTAGCCTAATGGGCGGACACGAGGGGTCAAAAGTTAAAGTACAAGGGTTACACTTCAGAGGTCTTTTGAGAGTGGTTGGGATAGGATTTACTGTTTCATGCTTAAGAGTAATCTTTTATGATATACACAGAAGTGTGGCAGCTTGAGAGATGACCATTAGGTCAAAGGTCAAGGATAGCTTAAGGTTAAGGATGAACCTTGTATAAAAATCCTGAAGGGGATTAGGGTTAATCCTTTTAATCCTGATTACCTGTAGGATGGTTGCTAGTTGAGGCTGTAGACTATCCAGATATTCCTCCTTGGTGTTGATCTCTCTGGCTAGGATATCCGTGTTGCTCTGGCAATCTTTCAGCTTCTCAGCCAACCTAAAGAGAACAAATTAAAATCAACATCACTTGTTGGCATCAATCCCAACTTCGCTGTTTGGGTATTATTTTAGTTATCTCCTGAAAACGTAACTTTATATATCCACGTCATGTTAAACTGGGGCCTGAGGGACTGTGTTGTTTCCTAGTTTATCACAAGTCAAATCACAAGTCAATCACAATTCAGTGCCAAGTAAAATCACAAGCTGATCACATGTCAAATCACAGATCAATCACATGTCAAATCACAGATCAATCACATGTCAACTCACAGATCAATCACATGTCACTTGACAGATCAATCACATGTCAACTCACAGATCAATCACATGTCAACTCACAGATCAATCACATGTCAACTCACAGATCAATCACATGTCAACTCACAGATCAATCAGATGTCAAATCACATGTCAAATCACATGTCAAATCCCAAGTCAATCCCAAGTAAATTGCAAGTCAATCACATGTCAAATCACAGATCAATCACATGTCAAATCACAAGTAAAGTCAAATAACATGTCAAATCACAAGTCAATCCCATGCCAATCCCAAGTTGATTGGCAAGTTATCACAACTTCAAAAGGTACATCAAAAGTCAAATCTAAAGTCCAATAATAATTAAATGCCAAGTCAATCACAGGTTAATCTCAAATGATCACAAGTCAATCGCAAGTCAATAACAAGTTAATCACATGTTTAATCACATGACAATCTTAAGTCAATGTCAAATAAACAACAAGTCAATAAAACCCCAATCACAAGTCAATCAAAAGGTGGTCTTGAAGGATTCAGTAGCATTCTCAACAAACTGACCTTTTTCTCTGCTCTAGTTCCCAGTCCAGTCTAGCCAGTCGCTGTTTGTGAGGGTCCTTCTTGGTGCTGTGAGGAGTGGCGATCTCCGAAGGAGCTTCACGATAGAAAGTGTCGACGTCAACCAATTCAATGTCTTCGTCCTTGGACCTAGAAATCAATAATAGGGCATATGAAATCAAAACATTTGGAAATGCCCATGACAGAGCCAATTAACCATGATGTCTAATTAATGAGTCAGTGAAATGATCCAAAACTCCTAGTCTGTAATCTCCTTGACCATTACTAGATGATGGATGAAAAAGATTTGAAATAAACATTTGCTGGTTTACTCACTGAGCATTTAAAAGCTCTGTCACAGACATAGGATTTTGTGGGATTGAGGAAGGTAGAGCCCAGCCACTATTACATAACACAGGCTTGATGCTTATGAAAGAATAAGGAATGTGTCTTCTATTCAACACAGTCTGGTAGATTTTGGATGATTCAGGAACCACCGTAACAAAAATATGACAAGTAGGGCTCAAGACTGGGAAGTTTTAAGAATTGACTTCGTACTTGAATTCTCGGCATTTCTTGATCTCCTTCTGCAGGTGCATGACCTCGTACAGCAGGTTCTGCAGCTGTAGGTGCAAGCTGTCGACCCGCTGCTTGCCCGCCATGGTGGTCTCCCGTGCCGCCTTGCAGCGAAAGTGAGACAAGCGGTTCAGTTTCTTCAGGGTGACAAAATGGAGCGAGGCCTGCATGCGCTTGTTGGCAACATACTCATCCTAGAGTGGAAAGAAAAAATACAAGAGTTGCACTACTGGAAATGTTAGTTTGTTATTCTTAAATTAATTCATCCATACTATAGTTCACTATGATGTTGCGCCTTTTGCGTGTTATCTGGCCAAAATTAACCATAACAACCTACATGTAGGCATGTTTGCTAGGATGACTCAATCCTGCAAAATCCTCCAACTGCCTCAATGTAAATATGCATGTGGCCTCAATCCTCCGTTACTTCTTGAATGTGGTCCTTGGAGGGGTGAACTCTCCAATTTACTGAAAATATCTGTCCATAAATAGAGAAACGTCCAAACCAAACCTTATCGTCAGCGTCACTCATCTTGGCAGACTGGATGTCTTGCATGATCTGTCGTAAGTTGGCGCACTCGCTGCGGTGGAGTTCCAAATCCTGCTGTCCATCGCGCTTCAGCACTTCCAGCTCCTCACTGTACGCACCAGTGGACTCCTGATGAATTAATAAAAAAGATAATTATGTTTTTATTATTGTTTCTGGTAATGAAACCAAGGATTCCTCAAAAGCACCCTAGGTACTGTATACTTCCAGAACTGTAAGGTTTTTACAAACCTTACAGAAATACCAATTGAAGTTGCTGTACGCAGTAAATTCTCAATTTTTTCAAACCTCATAACTCTCCTGCCGCGAAATGTTCGCCTTAATATTTCACAAGTATTATCTTGATGTGGATAGGTACCTCTAGGGTGGGTTGAAATCTCTCAAATGTGAAACAAACGTGAAATTTACCAGAAATGTGTTCACCAGGATCACAGGAGTCTCCCACGCGGCCGTCTCTCATCATTTGCCGATGACTGAGGGCGCTTTAATTCTCTGCACCAACTACAGCATAGCTTTCATTTCATCGCACGAGGCACAGAAACACTCCTGGATGAAAGCCCCGCTGTAGTTGGTCAAGAGAATTCAAGCGCCCTCAGTCGACAACAAATGATGAGAGATGGCCGAGTGCAAGACTCCTGTGATCTTGGTGATCTTGGGAGGGGGGGGGGGGACAATTGATAGGCGCATTATTTAGCAAAGATTTGTATTAAATGTACATACTACCCCTTTCGTCCCTTTTCAACATATGCAGAAGTGTCTTTTAGTGAAAAACGAGGCTGCCATAATCCATATCGTACAGGCATCGCGAATTTTGAATAACAAAGTTTTTTCGTATGTGACGTGTCATGCAAAGCACGCGAGCGCCCTGTGGACGCGCCCAGCGTGCAATCTTCGAAATGCGTGCGCAGTATGCTCTGAATAGCCAGTCAGCATCGTTTACATGTACATCACGGCCAGGGATTTGTGAAGGAAGGCGCACATGCCCATGGAGTCAAGGCTGGACTGACCTTCACTAGTGAGATTAGCCCCATTAATGTGGCCTATTTACTGGACTGCCTCCGTAAACATAGGCCACACATCCACATGTACAAAAACGTGTTGACTTTGCCAAATTTTGATTTTCACATTTAGGCTTACTTTGTAGGTTTTTTTTGCTTTAGAAGCATTCTCACCCTCTATATACTAGGCTAATCAGAAAGTGCTGCCTTTTTCAGATGTCTAATTTTTGTGAAATTTCATGTTGAAATTTTGATACGCAAACGTGTGCAAATGTATCTGGAAATTTCACGAAAAATGGACATCTGAAAAAGGCAGCACTTTCTGATTAGCCTATATAGAGGGTGAGAATGCTTCTAAAGCAAAAAAAACCTACAAAGTAAGCCTAAATGTGAAAATCAAAATTTGGCAAAGTCGACACGTTTTTGTGGATGTGTGGGTTTACGGAGGCAGTCCAGTAAATAGGCCACATTTATGGGGCTATAGTGAGATATGAGCAATATTTAATAGGCCTACATGATAATATTAATAATGGCAATATTCTTTCCTTCCAAAATTCTGATATAAATGTTTGAATTTAAAAAAGAACATGAATTTGCAAAAGAACCAAACTTTTTATCACAATTAATTTCCTCCCTACTCAGAAAAAAAGGGCAACAAATGAACAGCGCCCTCACACATTGAGTAATGAGTAATGTGTTTATAGGCCTATGTCGGAAATAAATGACTTTAGGTAGGAACGCCATGTGAATTGCGCGTGTCAAACCTGTGAATGTGAAGTAGAATCCTGTGCACGTTTTAGCTTCTTTGTGTCTTTTGGTGGCGAAATTTGCGACGGTTCTACCTCCGGTTTACTCCCCAGTCTTCGCTTCTTCTTCAATGGGATGGTTGTACTTGACATATCGTGTTCTTTATACCCACAAATTAAGTTGTAACAAATACTAGTTAACCAGCAAACCGCGCTGCCTTGAATCACATTGAACTTGTTTATACCATACAACTAAAGGAGGTTTTGCGCGCTGGATTTTAGCTAGCCTTGTTTCCAGCTTTTCTGATATGCTTATTAACCATAGAGTTATTATTAACACATCAGTCCAACATTTATTTGTTATGTGAGCTCAGAGAATTAAACTAGCAAAAAGAATCAATGCCTGAGGCGCAATAAATATGAAATTTAAACAAATTATACATTAATAATCAAGAAAAGCTGCAGTGTTTGTAAATAATACTTGTTTTTAATCATTATAATTCATACTAAAATTCCTTACAACAAATCATTTGACCATTAAAAAGCGGGATCCCTTTAAACAAACTGTGATAAGGATAGCCCATAAACATAACGCTAGGATCATCCTAGCTAAGCCCACACGTGCATCATCTCCTTTGACCGTATGGGTTTTGTCTTTCATTGGCCTAGATTTATCAAGCCTCTTGAGGGCGCTAGCATATTTCGAAACTAGTTCAAGTTCCGCGTGAAGTTTAACTCCAAAGTAGCTGTAAATTCACGAAAATGTGATTAAACTACAGAGACAGTCCACGAATATAGGGGGAAACATGCCGAGAGACGAGAGCCTCCAGGCCATCGACAGAGACTTGAAAGAAGTGGTTGAATTTTGCGTTTCTTCGGGCTTCAGCCCGGAGCAAATTGCCAAAAATGCGAAACCGCTGCTTTCCGCTGTCCAGAAACACGAAGATCTATCCAGCTTCCGATTATGGACGAAGAGGGCTGTCATTGTAACGATGGCTGTCACTGTTGTAGCGTTTTTGTTGCAGAATACCTGGACCTTCAGGTGGCTGTGCGTGGCTGGGAAGAGTTTCCAAGTGAAGGTATGTGTAGTAAAAAAAGGGGGGCGTGGCTGGAAAGTCATTCCAAATAAAGGTAAAATGAAATTAAAAGGGGGGCATGTCCAACTGGAAATATTTAAATTAGGACGCAATTAAATTAAAATAGGCCTACCAACATCTACATGTTTTTCAAGGAAAGTATCTTGAAGTTGAACCCACTTTTTTGTCATTTAAAATTACATCTTCTGTGATGACTTGTAGGCCTACTGGGCTAGCTGGAGTTACCCAGCCCTAAATTTTATCATTGGGTAAATGATAGACCCGTGAACGTGGCTTGTTGTAGTTGTATACAACGCCACGTTCACGGGTCTAGGTAAATGACAACCCAATGATACAATTTAGGGCTGGGTTACTCCAGCTAGTACTGGGCCTAGTTGAAACTTGACAATCTTTTGGAAAAAATAGAATATTAATTTCTAATAAAGCTTTCCAATTTTATTAGAAAATATTTTGAAAACGGATAACAGTTGTGACTCCATGGACTTGGCATTGTTGACAACGTGGGACCTGTGTAAGCACCATGGGAACTGGGGCCTACATTCTTTTATAAAATTAAGGCATGTCATAGTTCTGTAAATTTCATGTGTTTTTATAGCCCCAACAGTCCTGAATCCTCCAATTTCAATACTATTTTGCACACCCCCTAGGGAGTTAGTGTTTTTATTTCTTAAGTTATATTAATTTTAGGTTCTGCCATACTGGGACTGGACAAATCTGTACCATGAGGAATGTGTCATTCGCAACCCATACATGGTTGCTGCAACACTAACAGAAGAAGATTGTGAGGTAAAGCATTTCAAAATAATGTTGACAGTTAAAACCTTTGGGATTTTTTTTTTCGGCAGGATATTGTGAGGTAGACCCCCATCACTGTTATTACAATGACAATCAATATTATGTCAAACTGTACATCCGAAGTTTGGCTTTGCCAAGTAAAAACTTCTGGTTGAGAATATTCTTAAACTTTTCCCCTGGTTTCAAAATGAAGTGAGCTCAATTTTGTCAGCGGTCAGTGGTACTTTTTTGGGAGCTACTTTCCTTGTGCTACCTGGTAGTCTAGCAGTAGCAGTTACTTGAAATTTGAGCCACTCAATGTCTATGGAGTAAAGTTTAAATGAAAATAAACTAGAGTTTTCCACACCATTGTGACATGGATTAATCAGGTGATTTGTTTGTTCTTAATTGCAGATGTGCGAGGGGTACCTGAAAGTTGATGTTGTGCACAACATCAGCATGGATGAAGTCACCCAAGACTACCTGTTTGACAACACGCCATTCATCGTGACAGACGCCACCCAAAACTGGAGAGCGTTCAAAGAATTCAACGTTGACTCTTTGAAAACGGTTTGCTGATATATTATGTACTCGAAAGGATTTTAGTTTTCTCTACATTTCAAATGAGACTTTAATCATTCTCCCTTTTTTATTCAGCTGGCAAGCAAAAACGTACACCAACTTCAATTTTTGGGTAAAAATCAGCTCCGATTTTACAAAATACCAAAAGCAAAACACAGGAGTTGGGAGTTGAAATATTATTAAGATCTTGTTAAAATGAAGTGGATATTTCAGTCTTCAGACTTTGAATGAGAAAGAAAAACTCAATACGCACATTAAATTATTCACTTTGAGGAATAACGTGTTTACTGCAATTTAACCCCAGACGTCATTGTTTACTTGTTTACGGTCCAGTTGTTTACACTTTTTGCAGCTGTACACAACAAACGAGATCCTCAGGTCACATGACGTCTGCGAATACAAAGACAGCAGAAAGCAAAGACTGGCGGAGATTTTGAGCAGCAAGGATCGTTCCTTTCATACAAAATGGTAAGTGAGACATAAATCCTGCTTGCTAACGATACTTTAAGGCTAATATCTACAGAACTGTATTGTTCATGATCACTGTACTGTACGTGCATGCCCTATGAGTTTATTACATGATATATAATCAAATTGCCGAAGCAGCCATATGTTTGTACACAAACGTACATCTAGTTTGGGTTTGTTTTTCAGGGTGAATTGTAAGCTACCAGCCATCAAGGTTTTTCGCAGTTTTTACCATCGGCCGTACTTCCTCCCGCCGATGGTAGAATCAGCCCTGGAGAACTTTGTTGCTTTCTCATCTGGTCGGACAGAATCGCCAGAGGACAATCAGTTCTTGGTAAGCTCTTTCAGAAGAAAATCTAAAGATTGTGATTGGTCAGAAAGTAGCGGGCCTTGCCTTCCAATCCTGCGATCTTGGTTCGAATCGGATTGGGTTTTGCCTTTGACAAACTAGAGTGTTTATATTAGTGCTTTTTGTACTTTGAACTCAAATTGTAAATATTTGTTACCACTGTAGGAGTACTATACCAACGAGGATTTGACCTGGTTTGCTCAGATCCGAGGCAGCTACCTGATTCAGCTGAGAGCCAAGGTGCCTTGCGACACAATCTGTGAAACATTAGAAGTCACTCTTCAAGAAGGACAGACACGTAAGTGAACAGTCCTTACAGTTCAGCCCAAGTACTCTCAAGTCCTCATAAGTCCTCACATGAAGTCCGTCATAAGTCCTCACACATCCATGTCAAGGCCTGACAAGTCCTCACAAGTCCATCACAAGTCCTCACAAGTCCTCACAAGCCCTCACAAGTCCATCACAAGTCCTCACAAATCCATCGCATGTCCATGATAAGTCCTCACACATCCTTCACAAGTCCTCACAGGTCCATGATAAGTCAATGACAAGACCTCATGAGTCCATGACAAGTCCTCACAAGTCCATCACAAGTCCATCACAAGTCCATCAGATGTCCTCACATCCATGGCAGGTCCTCACAAGTCCTCACAACTCACAAATTCATCACAAGTCCTCACAAGTACTCACAGCAGGTCCTGACAAGTCCCTTTAGATGCTGAGATTGTTTCTCCTATTACAAGGGCAGCGCGGCATTATGTCAGCTGTTGGACACATTTTTTATCAGCACCTGCATTTTTACCGGTTGCTGTGTGTTACTATCAGCACTCCTGACTCATGAACCATTCAGTTTTATGCATGAAACTGGATCTGGAAACCAGACAGTGTAAGAAGCTCCTTAGTGTCCGCGCTTCTCTATTGAAGTTGTTTATTTCGCTTATGTTTCAGTTGTACTTACCAATGAGATGTGGGAGTTCTGGTTTGCGCCGGCTGACAAGTCTCCAGCGATTGCCTTTGGGTCTATGGGAAACTGGGACAGTTAAACTGACATAAACATTAAAAAAAAAACACCATCAGACTCTGTATAAACCCATGAACACCTGTACTACACATGTACATTGTATTGCATTATACTACATTGTATTACATTGCCACATGTTACTTCATTGTATTCAATTGTATTACATTGTACTACCTGTACTACACATGTACATTGTATTGCATTATACTACATTGTATTACATTGCCACATGTTACTACATTGTATTCAATTGTATTACACTGTACTACATCATATTACATTGTATTTATTCACAGATGATTCCATGAAGCCATAGAGCTGTCATGCAATTTTGGGTGTTACAAGGAACATGCAATAGGCAGTGCGGTTTAAGACGGCTAATGAGTCAACCCTAACCCTCCCAGATCCTTTAAAATCCACCAGAAGGTTTGGGAAGGGTTTGTAGGATTTTATAGGATTTCTTAGAATTGAGGAATGTAGAGGCAAGCTGCTATTACATGGGCTTGATGTGCCCCTTGAAAGTTTAAATTGCATACCACCTCAATAGTGACTATTAATTGTGGTCAATGGATTAGTCAGCAATTCATTTTGTATATGGTACTATTTACGGTACTGTTATGCACATGTTTGCCAGCTTGAGTCTGGTGTTTTATGCAAACAGGTGTTAACCATAAATGCAATAGTATGTGCCGGTGTTCCTTATTTTAAAGGAGTTCAGTTTTGCTTTGTAGATAATAAGCCGTAGTATACACAATTATTTTTCTATGTAATGTCCTTTTTTAACATAGTTCATTTAGTTTTATATTCCAAATCTAAGATTCGTAATGTATTTAAGAATGAGAATGCATAAATTAAAAAAAAAATCATGTGATCATAATCTAGTTTGTCACTACCATTACTGTATCAGTGGTTTAGTAATTGATTTCGATTTGAATCAGCTTTTGCTATAAACTAGTAAAATTTACTTCAGTGTTGTGAACTTAAATATCGATCTTATTCTAGCAAAATTAATATTTTTGTTGTTTAATATGTTACCAAGCAGACTATGAGAAGGTGACAAACCTCTCGGTTTGAAATTTAATGTAATATTAAAGCAAAAAAAATGATTACGTATGCGTGACTGAGTCAAGATCATACATTTGATAAATTTGACAAGAGTTTAAAGAATATGTACAAATAAGTCCAGACAAAACAAGGTGAAACTACAAAGCACTCAGAGAGTGCAAACCTCCGCCAAGGCCAAACAATTCCCCACCATATTGTCAGTACACCTAAAACAAATACGCGCATAAATGGTGAAGAATCCTTTAAAAAAAATCCTGGATCCAGACCTAGATCCGGATCACTTCCAAAATCTAGTCGATTTGTAAAGGACCATAACTTGTGTACATATCTTGTTAACAGTCCAACCGACCAACCAACCAACAAACCCGATGAAAACATAACCTCCTTGCAATGACAGATGTAATAACAAGGGAACAGCTACAAAATATCCAGGCTTCCAGACGATGGGTCTGTGTACGCCGGAGTCGAGAAAGTATCGATATCAAAGAAAATATTTAGTGAATATTATATACAACACAAATACCAAATTCCATCAAAGAGAAGCATATATGTATGTACAATCTATACTGTCCAAACATTGCAACGGTTCAATTTGACAAGAACATGTGCATTTGAAATTCCCAAAAAGATGAAGTAATAAATCGAACACTACACAATTACTGTACAAAAAAATCATCTGTACCAAACATACAGTCGAATACAGTTATGTTTGCAATTGTACATATTAATGCAACGGAGCCAAATATACACCTGAAAGTAGTGGCTAATCCAATTAATTTATTACAATATGATTGAGAAGTACACGAGACAGTTAATTGCAAGATCGAGGCTTGCAAGCAAAGGAAGAAGTAGCGCACTCTATACACATCTGAGACGGCATGTGCAGGAATGGCATGCTTAAATTTCGCGCTTCTGCACCACGCCGTAATGGTTCGACAAAGCGCAGACATGACTTGTGTATTTTTATTCCTCCATAATTCAATGCAACCCCCCCCCCCCCCACCACCACCACCACCAAAAAAAGGGGGTTGAATATTTAAGCTTCATAAGGGTATTTTATGATTATGCAGGACATACCGATCGAGTAGCCTACTTGGGCCATCGCGGCTTCATTCCACGGGTTGATTATTTCTAATAATTTACTTTTGGCCTCAAATCTGTCAGAGGATCATGTTAAAACAAACCAAAAATAGTTTGTCCTTAATATGATTTGATTTAATTTTCCTAAAGTAACCTTGAGTCGGGGTCCCACTCCCTTGAGTCGGGGTGCCCACGTACCCCGGCCCCAGGGTTTACTGCACATTGTAGCTTCAATTAAAAAATAACATTCAATGCAAACAATAAATATTACTCGGTCATAGTCATACAGTTTGCATATGACAATTAGACCTATCCCTACCGCTTTTAAATTATTTTTAAAAAGGCACCGGCGTTCTATGCGACATACTTCAACACGGCCTCACATTCACAAGGGATACCCAGTAGATTAAGGTTACACACGTAAAATCAAATTTCTCTATGTAATTATAGAAGTTGCTAATTATGTCTAAGAAAAATCACAATATGTACATAACATGTGCTTAAAGACGAAATCAAAGAAATTAAGTTTAAAGCAAGTTTTTATTTTATTATAATCTTTATTGTTATTCTTAACATCTACATGGGACACCAGCTCAGCTGTCATCGCGCCCTAGCTAAATTTAGCTTTAGTGTTGCAATGTACCGATGGAAATGGACGTTAAAGCAGCTGCGTGTTTTGCCATGGGCGCTTGTTAGTGGTGCGCCCTGTGCGTGGATTTTGTGAATGAAAAAGTCACTTATTACGATTCCCAACCGCATGCCTCCTGTTGATTCCATGTGCAAGAGTATTCAAGTAACGTATCCACCCTTCCTCCTTGCTCCGCCGAAATTTGGCGGTGCAAGGGCCGAGTGATTCTATGCCCTGTACAATCATATCATCCGCAATGGAAGCGTCACAATCACTGAAGTGGCGACCAACAGCGTCATTTAGATGCGCGTTGACACTGTATTGATGCTCCTTGATACGCTCGTAAAGTGTTCTCCCGGTCTCCCCGACATACTGCTGTTCACATATCCTACAAGTGATAAGATATATGACATTAGAGGTTTCGCAAGTGATGCGACCAATAGTACGGCAGAAATAAGTGCCATAAAGGAAGTGAGACTCCTTGATGTACTTGCAAACGGTACATTTGTTATTTTTGGCGCACTTAAATGTTCCATGGTAGAGTGCGTTATAGAGCCACCGCGCGAAAAGCAGGACCGTGATGGACGCACTGATGAACAGGAAGTCTTTGAGCTTCAAATTAGACTGAAACTTGCTAGAGATCCCAGAAAACCCAATGTCGCTCAGGATGTAAGGTCTGTCGGCACTAGAAGGGGGACTGAGAACCAGAGTACCAGTCGACGTCGACAGCTTGCCTATGCCTGTAAGCACTGTTCCCTCCGACAGCATTTTTTCCGTGGTCTGAAATCCTTTAGTTTCCTTCCCAATAACGTAGCTGACAATGAATTGCAGGAGCGACATCGACGTCTCAAACGAATCATGGATGATGGGAATCTCTAGCCCGGTGGCAGACAGAGGGTCGTCCACCTTCACGCCTGCGTTGTTGTCTTTGATCACGAATGGGACTGAGTGGCGAATAGTACTTATTACTCGTGTAGTGTCGCGCCTGCAAGATGATAGGGGAAATGGTTTTAAATGAGTACATTGAAACTGCTATGTGAAATTTTTGTTTAAAGATTTCCAAAACTTTTAATCGATTCTGTCAATGCAGTTCAGAGTCTTTATACTTCAAAACGTGATTCAAGCCCTATTTCAAAATGACAAATAGTTTCCGTTGCTTTTTAACATCATCAGCTACGTCTCATAGTAACGGGCCCCAATATTGACTTGTATAGCCTACCTACTTCAGACTTACCACAAGAACATCTTATGCTCTCTGCGGATAAGCATTTCTAGGACCCCCATGACGCCTAATGCATGCTCGCTCTTCAGGGTTTTGTCGATAGCTTCGACGCTCCCCTCAATGACAGCATAGGGAATGGTATTATCAGGAGCCTCACTGACGATGCTTTGCAGGTTTTGGTCGATGCTCAGGTGAGGCGCATCCTATAGGACGCGATAAAAACACAAGTGAAACTGATATAATAGTGAAAAAGTTCTTTCAACAGTTATCTTCCTAAAGATAAGACAAGGCAAGCAAAGTATTAAAAGATGGTCCCAGAGTAAAACAAATGTACCAGGTGTAAACACGTTTACATCGAGAAACTCTTGCACGTCTTGCTAGTAATGCTACTGTTTATTATTTTGGGAACACCCAACTGAGGACTCACCCAATCGTGGACCATTATTGTCCTATTGTTCAACATCCAATTTTGAAAGGATAGCCGTGTCCATCATTTGGCTACGACCGGCCATAACACACGACTCGGTCTCAACGTGGGAATTGCCTGCAGCCGCTTGCCAGTGGCTTCATAGCAAAATGATTCGGGCACAGCTCATTATGTACACTCATCTGAATAGGTTTTACCTTTATTTGGTCGAGGTACCGGTGGTAGTTGGTATCTAATTTCCTCAAACGATAATAAAGGAAGCCCGTAATGACTGCACTTCCCACCATTACGGCAGTTTCCATTGTCCCGACTGTAGTCCGCACTGGGCACCAGAGGATTTAAAGAAGAATTGACTTTTAATAGCCAACTGGATCCTTTCGTTCTGTATCAGTGGTAAAAACAAACAGCAGCTGCAAATAATGATAGGTTTCCATTGTCGAATGACAATGCAGGGAGATGGGATGGAGGGTGAAAGGGAGGAGGTGATTTCTTGGCTGCCACTGCCAAAATGTGATTTTGAAGGGCTCGCCTTTTACCAATTCTATTCATTGTTTGGTAAAATTTAATTAGTTCATACCCAAGTATAATTTAAGAAAACTTTTCTTTGGCATACAATGGCATAGGGGGATTATCTGACTTGATTTACAATGTATGTAGTGCACATCAGTAGAAATACAGGTGGTTATAACTATTCTCGAAATCATCAATATAAAGCTTTTGGATGGAGGTTTGTATAACACCGATTATATCGTCTTTTTGGAAAATAAACAATTGAGTCAATTGAGTTCAAATGAGTCACTGGATGTTTAATACTGAATATCATTTATCAAATACAAGGCAACGCCGCCACCACTTTGATAAATTCTATTGCAATGTTTGTAATTAGTTTCCCAAGTAGTATAAAATAAAACTCAGTTTCTTTGGCATACTATGGAATAGTAGAAATGTCATTTTTAAGACATGTCTCAGTGTGAGCAATGCATAGAACTGAGAATTTATTAAAAGTGCACTGAAGAAGGAACTTAAAGTTATCACAAGGATGCCGACGCCGGTCCGATGGCGATACAGCGTTGGAGACGGTGGCGGATGGCGCGCGATATACGGCCGAAAGCTTCTTGCAGGATCACTCCTGATGTTATTGCACACCTACTTTAATAGGCCATCGGCCTGGGGGTTTGGTCGGGTATCAAACTAATGAGAGCAATAATGGACATTGTGATTTTTGGCAACGTACACACTCCAGTTTAGTTGGAAAATATGTGATAGCATTGCAGCGTTGGCAGCCTTGACGGTGCTATCACTTACAAAGAAATGGCAGCCAAAACATGCTAGTGTAATTTATCCGGTTCGAACATATTGGCGGCCATGTTGAAGAAAAAAAAAATGAAGGTGATCCCCGAATAACTGCCACCGCGCACACTACAAAGCTATCACACATTTTTCAATTCTAGACGTGTACTTGCCAAAAATTGCTATGAGCATTGCTCTTTTCGATCATTATTTTGATACCAGTGGCCCAATTTTTGGACCGAAGCTGTTATAGCCTCACTCGATCGTTTGGCGCAACTGGCACATGATGGAGGAGGTGTGCAACCAGGACTCCTGCATTCCTTCAGAAGCTTTCGGTCGCAGCACGCGCCACCGTCTCCAGCGCTGTATGACATTCTGAAAGTGAGTATTTCGTTCGTATTTTTTTGCACAAAGCTGATGAAACTCGATCCATAAAATTTGTCGTGCCTTAATTGTTCACATCACATGATCTGAAATTTTGGTTTAATTTTTTGGGTAAACAACAGTTATTTAGGATCAAAAGTTGACGTATTTCTTACACATTTAGTTATCCCTGTATTACAATGGGGAGGACATTGTAAAAACTTCGAGGTGGGGGTGTCACGGTTCCCGCACGCAGCGCTCGTGAAATTTGCTTCTTTCCCAACCGATCCATTTCAATCCATGTTTAACGAACGCTCGCCTGCAAATATCTTGTGGGCCCTCACAGGCAAAATCAAAAGGTCAAGTTTACATTGTTCATGACCTCTGACCCAGAGAAAAAAAATCTTTTGCAAACTATTTTTGGACAAACTTCACTGCAAATCTTTCTGCCTGAAAATTACAGGATAACTAAACTAACACCTACATATATGGAAGTAGTTTTCTCCTGGCTATTACTTTCCATAATGAATATCATGTGGCAAAAAAACCAGTCCCACATGATTTCGATTTCCTCAAAATCACCTTTCCCCAGAAATGTATGACCGCTGTGAGGCTCACACGAAGAAGTCCAGTACTGATTTGAGCCACATTTCATTGAGTTGACTATAATTCGACGTACATGACTACGTACATCGGGCCATATCGGGGTCGATCCTATGACTTTGGTAATGCTATGGGCTTTATTCCCTCTAGAGCATGTGGTTCGTGCGTTGATGACAACTCTTAGTTGGAATGAACTTTTTAAACTAATTTTCACCAAGTTTCTTTGTTATTATTTGTTTAATATTGATACAAGTTACACGTATTCGTCTAATATTTATGATAAAAATAAAAGTACATAAATCATCATCGAATTGATGTACGGCCAGTTTTTGTTTCCCGGTCGGTCATGTTACCTGAAACACGTTTGGGTTTTTAATTTTGTTTGGGGGGGGGGGGGCAAAGCATATTGGCTATGCTATACCCAGGTTGCAAGCCCATATGGGTGGCATATGGGCCCCATCGGGGCCAAGATCATAATGGGAGGACCCAGATGAGCCCCAGATAATAACTTTTGCACCCAAGATTCTTATGGGACCCACATGGGCCAGCCCAGATAACCCATATGGGTTTTGTCTGGGGCCCACCTGGGCAAACATGTGGGTAACATATGGGGAAGCTATTATGGGTCCCATCTGGGCCAAGATATGGGTCCCATATGGGCGGACCCATATGGGCCCCAGATAACTTTACACCCAAGATCCTTATGGGACCCACATGGGCCAGCCCAGATAACCCATATGAGTTAGCTTTGGGCCTATCTGGGTACAATATGGGCACAACATCTGGGTAGTCCACAGTATATTAATACTATACTTCCCTTCCACTATATTTCCAATTCCCATATAATATATCGCCTCCATACCCAAGTCACATTCCCTTTACATGCCCCCACTGATACATTCTCATAATGCTCCCTCCAACTTTCCGACCCTTCATATTTTAATTCCCTACTTCTAATTAATCCTTTAATCCTAAAAAAAACCATCTCAAACATCTACAACCATATACCTCGTAATCACATCCCCTATACCGGCTCTACCGGATGTTCGAAATATGATCAATTGTTTCTCTTATAACTCTTCAATAATATCACCAATCGTGTTCATACTTTGCAATTCAACGCTACATTCATAGATCAACATTTGCGGACTGTACATGACCTCCTTTGACATTTACTTCCGGCTCAACCGGAAGTTCAAACTAAGATCAGGTTTTTTTCCCCATGTAACACCCATATGGGCCGGCCCATTTTTTGCCCACATGAGTTTGCCCAGGTTTTTCCATGTGACAGCCACATGAGCCCGCCCGCACTCCACCCCCAGTGAATTGCCGCTTTTCCCCATAATGACACCCACAATTGGCCACTGGCGGTGTTCTGCCCACTTGGCTTTGCCCACGGTTTTCCCATTTGATACCCTCATGGGCCAGCCAGTATTCCGCCAACATGGGTTTGCCCAGCTTTTTCCTAATGACACTCATGAGCCAGCCCGTATTCTGCCCACACACCCGGTTTTTACCCATATACCGCCATATCGTCACCGACACCACGAAGTAACACCCATCTACATACCAGTAAAAACTAGCAATCGGAGAAAACGGCAACTAAAGTTGAACGCCTTCTAAAAAAACACTTTGCGTCAAAACGACAGAGTATTTTCAGTTGGGTTTCTCGTTGTGAACACTTGATGAATTGAATTTATTAAATCTGCTGTTTTTCACCCGTTTGTGTATTAAATAAACAAGAAATAAGAGAAAAAAGATGAGTGTTAGTTCGTGAAACCGAAAAGGCTGCGAAACTGTAAATTTTCGTTTTCACGAAGTAACACTCTTCAATGTATTCAACACGGGGAAAGTGCAAATTCAAGTGAGCGCACGCGCGCTCATGCAACTTGTTACAAGAAGAGTGTTACTTCGTGAAAACGTTTTTGCTCACTTCTGAGCAGAGTGTGCGCCATGCATTGCAATGGTAAAAGGAACTTGAGTGTTACTTCGTGAAAACGAAAATTGTCACTTTTGCGCAAAAGTTGCCATGGATACTTAGCGTAATTATTGAAGTAAAGCTCTCGAAGCTTTGAAACACCGTGCAATGGTAGGCCTTGGTGAATAATGTTTAAAAATCCAAAAAACTGAAAATCGAAAAAAATATTGTTTAACACGGTAGAGTGTTACTTCGTGGTGTTGGTGACGATATGGTTCAGTCTGTATTCTGCCCACATGGAGTTGCCCAGATTATGACACCCATATGGGCCAGCCCGCATTTTGCCCACATGGGCTTGCTCAGGTTTTACCATTATGAAATCCACATGGGCCATGTGGGCTTGCCCAGTTTTTACCCATGTGACACTCACATGGGCCAGCCCGTATTCTGCCCAAACGGGCTTGCCCAGTTTTTACCCATATGATACCCATATGATACCCATATGGGCCAGCCGTATTCTGCCCATATGGGTTTGCCCAGGTTTTTCTCTGATGACACCCATATGGGCCAGCCCGTATTCTGCCCACATGGGCTTGCCCAGGCTTTACCCATATGAAACCCATATGGGCCAACCCGTATTCTGCCAATATGGGCTTGCCCAGGTTGTTTCCATATGACACCCATATGGGAAAGCCCAGGTAGACCCCCACATGGTATAACCCATATGGGATACATAGAGGTTAGCCCGTGCCCAGGTTCCCCAGGTATTTCCCATATGGGCCCCACATGGGCTTGCTAAGCTAGAGTATGACAACAAAATTTACACATTCACTGACATTTGAAATGAAATAAACTAATAACAAAAACATTGAACAAAACTTACAGTCTAGCTGGCTCATACGACCTGTATAGGGGCCTACAGGGATGCGAAGTTCCCTGGCGATACTGCAGCTCTTGGAATAAGTTAACAAATGCAACAATTCAGGCAAAAACAGGATTCTCCAAATCCACAAACAAACAGAATGAAACTCAGCAAAATGCAAAAATACATGTAACTTCCAAAGCTTTCAATCTCTGTTGTGTTCGTGCTATTGCACCTATACAGTACATGTACATGCATTTTGGACTGTTTCTGTCTATTGAAAACCGCACCCAAAATTTTACAGCATTTTTCTGCTGGTACCATATTTTAATAGGGGCGCTGTTCACATTCGATGATTATTAACACTAGTATAAAAGAAAACCTAGTCTTTGGCTTATTTGGCATAGGGGGATTATCTGACTTGGTTTACAAATGTATATAGTACACATCAGTAGAAATACAGGTGGTTATAATTATTCTCGAAAACATCAATATGAAGCATTTGGAGGTTTGTATAACACCGATTATATCGTCTCTTTGGAAAATAAGCAATTGAGTCAATTGAGTTCAATTGAGTCACTGGATGTTTAATACTGAATGTTTAATACCAAATATCTTTTATCAAATACAAGGCAACGCCGCCACCACTTTTATCAATTTTATTCCAATGTTTGTAATTAGTTTATACCCAACTATGAAATAAAACTTTTCTTTGGCATACTATGTCATAGTAGAAATGTCACATGTCTCAGTGTGAGCAATACATGGAACTGAGAATTTATTAAAAGTGCACCGAAGGAAGAATTTATAGTTATCACAATTAGGATGCCGACGCCGTTTCAAATGTCGTTACAGCGTTGGAGACGGTGGCGGAAGGCGCGCGACATACGGCTGAAAGCTTCTGAAGGAACGCAGGATCACTCCTGATGCCATTGCACACCTACTTAGGCCATTGGCCTGGGGGTTTGGTCGGGTATCAAACTAATGAGAGGACTAATGGACAGTGTGATTTTTGGCAAGGTATACACTCCAGTTTAGTTGGAAAATATGTGATAGCATTGCAGCGGTGGCAGCCTTTTGGGTGCTATCACTTAAAAAGAAATGGCAGCCAAAACATGCTTGTTACGTAATTTATCCGGTTCAAGCATATTGGCGGCCATGTTGAAGAAAAAGAAATTGAAGGTGATCCCCGAATAACTGCCACCGCGCACACTACAAAGCTATATCACACATTTTCTAATTCTAGATGTGTACTTGCCAAAAATTGCTATCGAGCATTGCTCTTTTCGATCATTATTTTGATACCAGTGGCCCAATTTTTTGATAGAAGCTGATAGCCTCACTCGATCGTTTGGCGCAACTGGCACATGATGGAGGAGGTGTGCAACTACATTCAGGACTCCTGCATTCCTTCAGAAGCTTTCGGTCGCAGCACGCGCCACCGTCTCCAGCGCATGACATTCTGAAAGTGAGCATTTTCGTTCGTATTTTTTTGCACAAAGCTGATGAAACTCGATCCATAAAATTTGTCGTGCCTTGTTCAAATCACATGATCTGAAATTTCTTTGGAAAACAACAGTTATCTAGGATCAAAAGATGACACATAGTATTTCTTACACATTAAGTTATCCCTGTATTACAATGGGGAGGGGGTTCAAAACTGCGAGGGGGGGGGGGGGCGGATAGTGTTGCGTTCCCCCACGCAGCGCTCGTGAAATTTGCTTCTTTTCCAACCGATCCATTTCAATCCATGTTTAACGAACGTTCGCCTGCAAAGATCTTGTGGGCCCTCACAGGAAAAATCAAGAGGTCAAGTTTACATTGAACATGACCTGTGACCCAGAGAAAAACAATCTTTTGCAAACTATTTTTGGACAAACTTCACTGCAAATCTTTCTGCCTGCAAATTACAGGATAACTAAACTAAAACCTACATAAATGGATGTAGTTTTCTTCCATTATGAATATCAAGTGGAAAAAAAAACAGTCCCGATTTCGATTTCCTCAAAATCATCTTTCCCCAGAAATGTATGACCGCTGCGAGGCTCACACGAAAAAAGTCCAGTAATTTGAGCCACATTATGGGGCAAGTTGTATATATCAAAGGGCGAGTTGACCATAATTCGACGTACATGACTACCGTACGGTACGTCGGGCCATCGGGGGTCGATCCTATGACTTTGGTAACGCTATAGGCTTTACTCCCTCAAGAGTATATTATTTATTTCGTGCGTTGATGACAACTCCGAGTTGGCATGAACTTTTAAAACTTTTCACAAAGTTTCTTTATTATTTGTTTAATATTGATACATTTACACGTATTCGTCTAATATAATATTAATGGTAAAAATAAAATTACATAAATCATTATCGAATTGATTTACTGCCAATTTTTATTTCCCGGTCAGTCACTGTTACCGGAAACACGGGGGGGGGGGGGAAGCATGTTGGCTATGCTATACATTAAGCTAGAGTATGACAACAAAATTGACACATTCACTAACATTTGAAATGAAATAAACTAATGAGAAAAACATTTAAACAAAACTTACAGTCTAGCTGGCTCATACGACCTGTATACAGGGATGCAAATTCCCTATACTGCAGCTCTTGGAATTAACAAATGCAACAATGCAGGCAAAAACGACGAATCTGTCAACTTTACCGCCGCCTAAGGCTATCGCCAAACGCAAGATTCTCCAAATCCACAAACAAACGGAATAAAACTCAGCAAAATGTACCAAAATACATGTAACTTCAAGAGCTTTCACTCTGTTCGTGCTATTGCACCTGTAGTACATGTACATGCACTTACTGTTTCTGTCTATTAAAAACCACACCCAAAATTGTACGGCACGCAATGTCATGTCTTCGTCGGGGCAGGGAATTTCTACAGCTGTGTATTAAATTTGCATTTCAAATTTGCATACACAGCTGTAGAAATTCCCTGCCCCGACTATAATACGCGAGTGTGAACAACATAAACAAGACCACATCTTGTTTTGGTAAAAATGTACAAACATGTACATTTACAAGGTTGGTCAAACTTTTGAACTTGTAGTTGGAAAAAACTTAATGAACGTACACTTGACGTAAAATATCGCTCTCACGAGTGACACTGGATCAAATTACATGTGTACACATCACATCGGGGCGCGCTGGGCTCGATCATAACGACGTCATTGCCTTTCCATTCCAACTTGCCATTCTAAATTGCGAATTTTTGATGTCATGAATATAAGAGATGGGGTTTCCCTACTGCAACTAAAAGCGACCATTAAACCCATGAAGGGACCATTTATGTACACTCTCGCCCTATCACTTTGGTCGCCGATAAGCTGTGGGATATTCTCAAACAAAAATATCTCAACAAAAAAAAACCCTGACTGTTTCAAAGCTCGTTAAAATATGGAACAGTGGTTTTTAGGACCCCGGATATACATGTTTTTGTTCTTGAGATATCAGGGTTTTTACTCACCAACTTTATCATCGGCACCGTGAACGTTGCGCATACACTTGATGCGAAACCTTCGCTGCATTTTCTAAAGAGGGGAATTACCTTTTTTTCCAGCCAGCGCAACGGTAATGTCGATATGGCTGGCGCGTGCAAAAAAAGATAACCCCCTCTTTAGAACATGGTCGAACCGATCCCTAAATATTAAACGTATTACTGCAATACACTCTGTCGGGACTGCGCAATAGTCGTAGCCTTGTTGCCATTTTGTGATTGGACAATTAACGACGTTGAAGTACATGTACACATGTACGACGTACGGTACCATGTGCACGTACGGGCGCCGCATACCATACATGTTCATCGTACAAGACCAGATTTTGCAGGTTTTTCTGTGACACATTTCGTTCACATAATGATACCTAAAGGGGGAAAAGAAAAATCATTTCACAAAATATTTAAATGCACATTGCAAGCTATCTGCAATGATTCGTTGGACAATAATTGTGTGCATAAACTTTGGGAATGGAAGAATCCTCCATGGGAAGAACTACTTCTCTCTTTAAAAAAAACTTATGTTATTCATCTATATTCATGCTTTCTTTAAAAAAAATTTTTTTACGAATGTAATTTATTAATTTTATGTACATATTATGCGTATTAAATCGATCCCTGCTTTTCTCTGCAATCATTGTTTTAATTTTTTTAAATGGTTAAAAAGTTTTTTAAAAAATACCTCCCTCATATCTAAAAAGGATGATGCGACTCCAATTCCGTATTCACTTTCATGCATTTATGGGGGTGTGTCTAAACGATCTCAAGATGTAATCATTTGGAAAATTTGAAATCTATTTCCTTTTGAAATTGATGTTCATTAAAACAGACCGTCACTAAAATGATTCTGAAAGTATTGTATACTGAGTGCGGATCCCGGGTGCGTAGGCAGCGCTATACATGAAACCGCGCTTGCAGCTACTTGCACTGGAGATATGAAGACACCATCAAATGAACGTCGTTCATCGTCCAATCACAAAATGGCAACAAGGCTACGACTATTGCGCAGTGTCGGTATTATGTGCGCCATGTACGGAACGAAGTGCTAAGCCCGAGTTTAAAACAAAAACACCCGGTATCTTCGTCATCCCATGGAGCTATGGTTATCCTCAATTCATCATGGGAAAGAAACGTCAAATCTGTTTGTAAACATTTCCAAACAGTACTCATTTTGAACGAGTTGACAACTGTAAACCGGCAGTTTTTACCTTTGTTTAATATGGTGTTAAATTACATTTTCTGTCTTAATTTAAAAAAAAATACCTTTAACTAAAGATGTACTGTCAGTGCGACTGAAGAGTTTCACCACGAAAAATTTAAATCTTTCCAGATGCTATTTATCTAGCACTAGAGAAGTTATTCCATTTTTAATGAGACATTGACTGGAAAAAACTGGCCCATGTTTAGTAATGGAATATAATTTGTTATTTTGTGGAGCCTGACAATAATTCAGTCCTAGCAGTGTAGACTGGTTTTCTCCTCCAATGAGAATGAGTTCTAAATGGAAGTCTTGGGAACAAAACTGTAGCATATCGATCCGAGTCAAATACATCACTTTTGTGGCTGACATCCCCCTACTGGATCAAAACAACACCCCCTCCCCACATCATGACCCCATGACACCAACTTGAAGATCGCTCACAAGAGATCCTAACTCACAAGTGCTTCAAATGGCCGTATCATGAAAAAATAATCCGAATCTGAATATAGGTTTTTACATCATGACTAGCCAGCGTAGTCTTACTTGTGTATGTCGCACGGCGGTGCCCTGGTGAACCTTTACACATCAATTATCAATTATACATGAATACATCCAAATATGGTCGAACATCATTTTGACCAATCAGATTGTTCCGTACAAGACCTGACGCAGAAATGACCTACCGGTGCTGTGCCATCTAGAAAAGTACTCTCTGATAGGCTAACAAATTTGACCATGTAACTCCAGACCTGAATATTCAGATGATGAGTTTCAAACCAGTCAAGACTAAAGTTTGGTTTGCCAGGACTTCTGTTGATGTAAAACGTACTTTCCTGGCTCGTGCATTTTAACATGAACCTGAAAAGTAGCTTTTTCTCTTGATGGCAACAGTATTAAGGCCAGATAGCTGCTTAACAGATAGCACTCTCACTTTTCTTGCCACTTCTGGAACGTCATTGGATCTATAATTCACAAATTGGTTTCTTCTGTTTCAAGCTAAAAATAGATGTCTGAAGGTACGTATTACCCATCAATTCAGCATTTTCACAGCAAGTGTACAACATAAGACAGGTCTTATCAAGAACTAAGTTTTAGCCAAAATGACCACTGATTGATTGCACTCTAGACAACAATAGTAAGACCAGTCTAGCTACACATGTAACTCTGGGAGAGCAGCCAACACACATGATCATAAAGTTATCAATTGCCTGGCATATCACAATGTACAGCTGAAAGAAGGGCCGTGGGGTTGCGCGGTATGACTGTAGACTTTTCCACTTGCAATAATTAATACATAGCACAATTATATCACAAATCGACACATCATCAAAAGACTCTGTACACAAACACTAGATGGCGCTTCATGACCATTCGTTAGACCTCCAGTGGGAGGGACAAACCATTTGCACACACTTGTTCACACACATATGGCACCATGTACGTGCTTTGCATCTGGCGATTGGTCTCCCCAAACTTTCTCTTTGTGACTATTGATCACGAGGAGGTACTTGAAAATCAGATGCCATAGTGACCAGTTCCAAGATTGAACTTGAGGTTAACTCTTGGCTTCCTTGTGGATGGTGAAAGGTTCACATCTCACTCAGGTTACCTCTTAACCTCCTTGCGCAAGGTGAAAGGTTTGAGACTATACCTCAGGTAAACTCTTGGCTTCCTTGCGCATGGTGAAAGGTTCGAGTCTCTCTTCCTTAGGTTAGCTCTTGGCTTCCTTGCACATGGTGAAAGGTTCAAGTCTCTCTTTCATAGGTTAACTCTTGGCTTCCTTTTACAGGATTCAAGTCTAACTCACGTTAACTCTTAACCTCCTTGCGCATAGTGAAAGGTTCAAGTCTCTCCTCCTCTGGCAGCACATTGTTGAGTCGCTCCATCAGTGGTATCAGTTGATTGACATTCTTGGTGACTTTCTGCAAGGTGAAGGACATTTCGTTGATCTTCTGGATCCTCTCTGCTACCTTAGAGTACTTGCGCTGCCGCTCTGAGAGGAGATTAGTCATGGCGATGACTTCGGCATCCACCTAGAAAGAGAACCATCAAAAAATGTACAAGTTGTAAGAAATATTCCTTTCAGAGGACACATGATTCAGACCATCTTAACACAGACAAGATGCCTTTGGTGGCATACCTTTGCTTGTCAAAATGACAAACCTGCTCTGTGCAGCATGATCCAGCAGGTTAAAAATCGCAAGGATAAACTGTCTCAGAGTCTGTGGATGCCAACTACAGCATGCCTGAGGCTCATTTTGGGCATCTCATGGAGGGATAAAATACACAACAACACGGAGTGTGAGAGGGCAGGGACCACCTCCATGTACACCGTACTCAAGCAGAGGCGTCTCCACTGGCCTGGTCATTTAGAAAGGCCGCATCGTTCTCTATGGACAACTGGGAACAGGAAAGAGGCTGATTGGAACACCCCAGATGTGCTTTAAAGACTTCTGCAAGTGCGACCTCAAGACTCTGGCTATCAATGCTGTCAGCATGCCAGCCAGCTAGCCAGCCAGCCAGCCGGGGAGCCAGGCAGCAAGATAGTCATCTAACCAGCAAGTCTAATAGAACTGACAGGCAGCCAGCCAGATATCTAGACAACCAAGCAATAGTACATCCATCCAGCCAGCCAGCAAGCCAGCCAGGAGGCTAGGCAGCCAGCTTGCTAAGATAAAAGCTAAGCCCGCATGCAAGAAACCAGCGAATCAGCCAACCAAAGCCAGCATACCAACCAACCAACCAGGCAGCTAGCTGCTAGGCACCAAGCCAGCCCTCCAACAGTCAGTCACGAGTAAGGCAGTAATTAGCCTGCCAGCCAGAGACCTAGTCTACTAGGCAACAAGCCTGCCATGCAGCCAGCTTGCCAGGCAAAAAGCCAGCCAGCCAGCCATTCAACTAGCCTGTGAGGCTGTCTGGCAAAAAGCTAGTCTTCCAGTCTATTAGCTAGCTAGCCAGCCAACTAGCCTGGCAGGGAGTCAGCCGCTTAGCCAGCAATACAGCCATGCAGCTAGCCTTTCAGGCAACAAACCTACTATGCAAAATCCCACAGACACATAAAGTTTTCACAATTAAGGGGGGGGGGGGGGGTTGACATGTAATTTGTACACACAGACTGCTTCCAATAAAAAACCCAACCAATCAATGTTACAATCAATGACTTGCCTCTTTAATTCTATTGGCTATGACGTTCTGGTCAAAGGACACGGCTTCACTGCACTGCTTCAGATGCTGCTGGTACCTCAAGCACACCAGGAGGAGTTGCCTGTAACAAAACAAAAATGTGCAGTTAACTTCAAATTCTAAATTACTGACTAAAGAGTACACAAAGGAAATTAAAGAATGATTTCAACTTGTGGCCCCTTTAATGAAATATAAAGCAAATGAATCTACGCAAGTCTAGAAAAGCTGTTACCAAACTTGTAATGAACTCCCCCCCCCACTGATTAGCTGTCCCCTCCCCCAGCTTTCTCCCCTCCCTTCAATACCTGTGATCAAGTTTGTCCATGGCGCTTGCCTCTTCTAAGCTAGATAAAGAGGGAGTGCTGCGGATGAGAGGCGTGAACGTTGGGATATCCCTCATCTTCTGAAGCTCGGATGCCAGGCGGGCATCTTCGCTGGGGGCATTTCCCTCGGCAACCACAATGATGTTGTGGGCGGGACTTCCTGTGGAATTGTGGGCTTTCAGTTTTGGTGATGATTTCGCCGGGGAGTTGGTTCTATCGCTGATCCGTGCATAATCTAAAAAAAGAGGGAACAAAATCCAACGTTGTGAGCTGATTTTCATGAAACCTTTCAGAATTTTCCTACATTTTGAAGTGTGCGGCAAATGAATGGCACAATCTTTCAGTGAAATATAGGCTACAATTTGCATCAACATGTACATACATATAATACATATTAAAATAAGAAGGATACATTCAGGTACTAATTAGCCGGGGTCATGTGAAAAACTCCACTTTTGAAGTAAGACGTCATTTTGCAGACCGATACTTGATACTGATTTTGAGGACCTTTCCATTAAAGAATGAAATATTCACTCATAGTAAACTTCAAAGATGAGGCCGAGTAAAAACAATTAAGAACTACTCGTATAAGCTTCTTCTTTTTAAATGAAGGAGGCAGCACTCCCCCTCCCTGGTGGATTTTTAAAATGGTGGCTTGATTACACTTCTATTTTCTAAACTCTTTTGCTGATACAAAATTGTGTCCGTACACCTGACAAAGTGACATACATGTAGCTACAATTTTGTTGGAAACAAATAAAGACAATATGTTTCAACATATTTCAAGGAGGCTGGCGGGAAAAAAGAAGCCAGCGGGACGAGAAATTGGTATTTTTTTACTTGGCCTTATACTGTAGTTCCAGGACAGTAAAACTTGGAATGCAGAATTTGATGTTTAAATGCTTTATTCTTATTCGTAAACATAGGTCAACCTCATTAAACATTGTTAAAACCAGTGGCAGTTATGAAATTTACAAACAATCGTGGTAAACACACTTGCTCAGGGACAAACAATATACAATAGGCTAAACCTCAATCATGTCAATAGCTAACAATTGCAACACTGAGCAGTTGTACTTGCCTCTCATTCCCTGCCTGTCAACTGAGTATGATGTGTAGGGTATATCGTCGCTTGAATTTGGTTGCCCCGACGACGAAGCATCGGCAGATGTTCCACCACTCTGACTAGCACCCATTGTCAAATGCAAAGCTTCTGAGTCACACAAGAGTGCAGTTTCTCACATTTCTCATTATCAATATCAGCATGAACTCACAACACGCATGAAGCAACTTGAAAAAATATTATAATGCATGGACTAGCAGAGCAAGTCTATTTTTTTGACACTCCAAAAAAATTCATTCGCAATTTTACTCAAACTGGGAGCATATTTCTTCCTTTAAAGAAAATCCCGCCTGTTTTCGAGAGAAAGTATATCGACACAAAATCCTTTACAACAACATGTTCAAAATCTACCCAAGCTGACAGAAATTTGGATAAATTTACCACAGAAACAGGCGAACGACAATGAACGAAAAGGCTTCCAACTTCCAACCAGATGAACAATTTATTGCCTGAACGTAAGTAGGTTTCCAATGACTGGGTATATAATTTTCAACCTCGTTCATTCCGACTACGCACAAGGAGATTGCGTATAATTATGTTCCCGCCCGTACAAGGTTGTGATTTGTTTCCTTCGAACTGTGCATATGTACAGGACAAATACGTAGATGACTCACAGTCATGATTAACTTGACGCACAATCAACGATCGCCTACCGATTCAGTTTGAAAAATAGTGGAAGTTTATCCTTGATTTCTTTACAATATGAGCAGCAGAAAAATCGTTTGTTTGTAGATTTCATCGGGAATACTTTGATTCTGTGAACGTGCTGCGATTAGTCGCCTGCCTTAATTTTCAAGAGCACACGGAAGGTTCGTATTTTTCCAATCACATTTTTGTCGTGCTCCTACCCATACCGCTTGCATAAGAATTGCACACATTTGAAGCAGGGCACCCGACTATTATATATTTTTATGTACACGTAAATTTTGTAATGCGCCCTTGTATTTTTTTCATATTACCGATTTAATACTGTAAATTTCTTTTTCGATTGGGGGGGGGGGGGAGGGTTGAAGGGGGTCGGCATATGGCAGGAGAGTGTTGCTCAAATCATTTTCATAATCATAATTATGACAATTTTAAATGATCAGTAAAGGTTGGGGTTGTTAATCTGATCATGTCAATCAATGTCAGATTTTAAATTGATTGTTTACGAATTGTTGATTTTATCATCACCAGTTTTCATAATCATGCATTCTAAAATTACACCTTCATTCAACTTCATCAATGGAGTTCTAGTTCTAACTTCTAGGCATGTGTAGGCCTGGAAACGTATTTGGATGTTGTACGTGGCAGTGATTTCATAATTGTTCTCTATTTGTCAGATAATCACGGAATCATGGCCAGCGGTGCAGGATCCCACGCTATGTATATTAAACAGTATCTACCAACAGCAAGTCCCGCTGTAAGTTCAGTCTCAAAATATGTGGACTTCTCATGATTTTTAGAATTAGGCCTACTCATATTCATATCTGCAGGAAATGTCTAGATTGCAAGTTCCGATTGAAGTTCAAAAAGGCTTTGTCACTTACTGTCATGAACTAAGCCCAAGTTAAAACATAAACCAGTTCCCCGTCTGCTTCCTGGTTTTTAATTTTTTTTATTCATACATGTACAGTTGCAGTATATTTTTCAAATTTGGTTAATAAATTGTCTTTTTTATTTGTTTCCAACAAAATTGTAGCTATGTACAAAGGGTGACGCAATTTTTTATCAGCAAAAGTGTCGAGAAAATGGAGGAACCCATCCGCCATCTTCAGGGGGAAAAATGGCCCATCTCCTGGACAAGAAACTATGTATTGTTTTACTTGCCCTAATTGGAAGAAGTACTAATACCATGATCCTTCAAAATTCCAACAGGGTTTTGGACTTGGGATTTTGTAGGATTGAGGATGGTAGAGGTCAGAGCCCAACACATGGGGGCTTAATGCACCCTTAAACTTGGTAGGTACAAAGAGTGTGCCAATTTCCTTTAGAGTGGTGGACTTCACAGGATTCAGGCCAATTACAATAACCCACAGTAATATTTTAATTATGTATCTACATGGATACATGTGCTGATTTGGATTTTGTCTGTTCAAATTGCTACATGTACATGTACAGTACCAGAAGCCAGCTGAAACGGAGCGAGATGTCTTACAGGTCTTTTCAAATTTCAAGGACGTCCGGCCGAAAATGGACACATACAGTAAGTATCTGATCCAAAACAAAAGGAGGCAAATAAATAATGTTAAAATCACGATGGCATTTTTTTCCTCCCACACTACAGTCATTAAAATTTCCTATTAGTTCTGAACTTTCCAAAACTGATGAGTAAGATTCTCCTCAAGAAAACATTGTTTCATGTGCAGCCAAAACTGCATCAGTAATTAAGTTTGGATTGTTTTTAAATATTTAGCTTTCAACGACGGATCAAGGAAAACTCTGCTGTGTGTTGATGGAACGATCCCAGTCTACTACAAAGGTAGGTTGTCAGTCTATGAAACATTAAAACAATCATCTGTAACCTATTGGATCCATCAAAATCCACTTTCAACTTTTGTAGGATTTTGTAGGATTGAGGGAGGTAGAGCCTAGGCACTATTACCTTGAATGGGGCTGATGCCCCTTGAAACTTGGTAGGTATAAAGAGTGTGCCATTGGGTTCCTGCACAGTGGATGATGTTGTAGGATTCAGGAAGGTTCGTAGCAAAAGTGCCTAAGGAGTGATAAGCAGTGATTTCAAGTTTAGAGCACAAAAATACAAGGGAAAATCAAATAATCTAGGTTTCTGTTACAATAATATTTTAATGAAACCAGTCCAGTTTTTATTATATTACAAAAAGGTTAATGATATAAAATTTACGCACTTTAATAACATTTATGCATTTTTGTGGGACTTGTCATTTTATTACTGAAAAAAGTAGAAAGATATTACAAACTGTAAGTTCGTTTTTAACAACTCTGGAAATATTTTTCTTAAAAACAATTTTCTGATAACTTGCATTAAGTTGACTGATTACTGTTTTGCTGGCAGGCATGAGTTACAACATTCCTATCTGTATCTGGGTGATGGAGACGCATCCCTACAATCCACCTCTCTGCTTCGTCAAACCCACAAAAGATATGCTCATCAAGCCATCCAAATACGTCGACTCCAACGGCAAGATATATCTGCCTTACCTCCACGACTGGAAATACGTGAGTTCTCTGGACTTTTGTTTGAAGTTTTGTATCTGGACTTTTGTTTGAATTTTGTATCTGGGAGATGGGCCAGCATATGGATACAATTCAGGTTAGACTGTGTTTGTAAATTTCATTGTCTCTTGTTTTCTCTTTAGCCTTCGTCAGATCTGCTCGGTTTGATCCAAGTCATGTCGGCGGTCTTTGGGGAATTCTCCCCTGTATTTAGCCGGGCTTCGCAATCCAACCCTCCTCCTAGACCGGGCTATCAGCCTGGGGGACAGCCCCCAAGTCAATCACCTTACCCATCAGGTATTACAAAAAAACTTGTTTTGGCAGCTAAAAGTGTTTCTACAATTCTGTAGGATATTGAAGGGTTCTGTTGGATTCTGTAGGATAATGTTGAAGTCTGTAGACTTCTGTAGGATTCTGTAGAAATATAAATTACAATGTACAATTCTCTAAAATGCTGTGGAATTCTGTGAAACTTGTGGATTATATTGAATTCTGTGGGATTCTGTATGATTCTTAAGGATTCTGTAAATATTTGTTGGAGTCTGTAGACTTATATAGGGTTCTGTAGAATAGTATGTTATAGTATAGAATCCTGTAGAATTCTGTAGAATGCTCCAGATTTCCGAAGAGATCTGTAGATTTCCATGGAATTCTGTATTCCTTAAAATGTGTAGAATTCTGTAGAATTCCCACAGACTTCTGTAAGGTTTCATAGAATTCTGTTGAATTCGTTGGGGTTTCTAGAGTTACGTAGAATTCTGTAGAGTTGCAGCCCTCCAATTCTGTAGCTGTACAAGTAAATAGAGGACTGCAGTGTCAAATTCGCTTGCTAACTGTCAGACTTTCACAGAGAACATTCACTACTTGTTCATATAAATATGGTAAATGGTTACAAAAGATCTGGTTTTCTTACCATAATGTCAAGTTTGGGAGTGAAGCCCAGAATAAAATAATTTGTCTATCATTTAGAACCTGAATTCAGTGCAAACGCCAAAAAGGATTACTGTTTTGTTCCTTTTTACAATTAGGCGGTTACAACATGCCAATGCCGATGCCACCCAGCACCCAGCCCAATTACAACCCTGGCTACCCCTCATCCACCTCTTTCCAACCCTCCAGTCAGTACCCCGCCAGTTACCCAAATACCAGTTACCCCAGCTCCCAGCCCCCATCGTACCCTTACCCACCCACTCAGCCCCCTGCCGGGCAAGTCACAAGCCAGCCGTCTTACCCTAACCCTAACCCGGCTACTACTGATTTACCAGTAGGTAAGTAAAAACCCATAACTCTCGTAGATTTTCATACCAGTATTGATACAGGATATTTTGTGGGTGGGTTGGTATGCCTTAAATGGCTTAAAGGGACCATGACATGAATCTTACTTGGGAACATATTTTGTGCAACTTTCTACTCATAAATGAATGAAAACCATTTGAAATCCCCTTTTGGTTAATTTTCTTGAAAATGAATCATATACCCTCCTGATTGCAATATGTTGGATTCAGCCGGCAACTGAAAACATTCGAACGCCAAGTTGGACTCTGTTGGATCCAGAAACATAAGGCACATTTGTGGCAAGACTTTGCTCATTGGCTCACTGTAATGTACTGAAACAACAATGACTAACCAAAGAAAAGAAAAATTACGACAGCAAAATATCTAAAATTCTGACACTTTTATTTATTCACTTAACAACCACGTACATGTACATGAAAGTGTACATCTGCAATACTGACTATAGCCTTTTTCAACTAGGTTAAATTTCCAGAGATGTAGATCAGCAAATTAAAAAAAATTTAGAACAAGAAGACCCAAGAGAGTCGAGACAGTTATCCAAATTGTTCATCTTTTTTCAACTAGGTTCAGGCACCAAAAGCAATGAACTATCAGACGATGAGATAAAAGCGTCCATCAGGTCAGCCGTGGAGGACAAACTCAAACGCAGACTGAAGGACACGTATGATGGAATTCAGGTACTTGTGATGACTTGCGATGACTTGCGATTGGCTTGCCATGGGCTTGCCATGGCTTGCGATGACTTGCCATGACTTGCTATGACTTGCCATGACTTGCCATGACTTGCCATGACTTGCCATGACTTGTCATGACTTGTCATGACTTGTCATGACTTGTCATGACTTGTCATGACTAGCCATGACTTGTCATGACTTGTCACGACTTGTCACGACTTATCATGACTCGTCATGACTTGTCATGACTTGTCACGACTTGTCACGACTCGTCATGACTTGTCATGACTTGTGATGAGCCATGACTTGTAATGACTTTATTGCAACTTAAGTATGTAAGATCTTGACGTCAGTTGTGAATAAAATATGTGCATATTTTTAAGGTTTAAACATTGCCAAAGTTTTGAGCAACAGTGAACAATCTTTGCAGTTTCCACAATTTTATGTATTGCAAACGATAGTGAGAACTGGAAGCATTTTTTGCTCAATTTCGCAGGCTGAAATGGACTCAATGACAAACACAAAAGACAAGTTGAAGTCAGGACAGCAACAACTGGAAGATATGATCGGCAAACTGGAAGCAGAACAGGTGAAAATGGCATTACGTTCATCACATTAATGTGCTTGAAATTGAATTAAATTGATTTCAAATCGAGCAGGCATGGTGGTCGAGATAAGAGTAGTCATCCATTTGTTGAAAATTTCCTATAAAATGAGTTATCAAGATAAAATAGCCCGAGGTTGCTTTCGTTTTTGAAAAATAGTAAATATTTTTCAAAGTGCCCCACTGCTCATCAATCGTAACTCACTTAGCTTTTTTTGCAATGAAAGTTGCTCAATCTTTAACAGTTATCAACTATCAGGAACCCAATGGCAAATTCTGAAGTACTGTAACTTTAAATGGGCATCAAGCCTCATGTAATGTAATAGTGATTGGACTCTACCTTCCTCAACCCTACAAAATCTTTGACTGTGCAGGAACCCAATGGCACACTCCTTGTCCCTACAGGTTTCAAGGTGAATTGAGCCCCATGTAAAGTAACATTGGCTGTGTTCTACCTTCTTCAATCCTACAAAATCCTCTAAAGTCTCCCGATGGATTTTGAAGGATCTGGGAAAAGAAAGGGTTAATTTGTATACCTTCTAATCTTTTAAGGTATTTTTAATTTTACCTCATACTGGCAGAAAATCAATTTGTTATGCATTCAAAACGTACAGTTATGTTTCAATAACTTATCAAAACTTGTGTCACTCATTGCCAATTTGGCACGGAATGACCAAGAGTTTAAATTTTTCTTTGACAGGTTGATCTGGAAAAAAACATTCAACTGTTACAACAAAAGGACGAAGAAATCCGATCAGCTCTGAGTAAAATGGACGGTCAGGCACAGATGGATATAGACGAGGCAATAGTGCCGACAACTCCACTATACAAACAGTACGTGCATGCCCCACCCTCTCCCCACCTCGTCTGTGTGGGTCTGTGTCACCATGTTCAAGACAATTGCCTTAGATAAAGATTCAGTTGAACATTCAACAGCATTTCTTCAATGGTCAAGAAGACATGTCTGGTACCACGTCATTATTCCTGCATATGCTATTATCAATCATGCCACCAGACTGAGGGAATATGTCCATTATCAAATTGAGGTTTTAGAAAATTTGACTTGAATTCAGCTGTGGCTTTTTTCCCTACTTCAGATTGCTGAACCTTTTTGCTGAGGAGATGACAATTGAAGACACCTATTACTACCTCATGGAGGCACTGAGGAAGAACACCATAGAACTTGAAGCCTTCTTGAAGGTGAGACTAAGCATTAAACTTTGACCTCTGACAATAGAGGGCGCTTGCCATTGGAACACAATACATGGCTGGAAATTGTTTGATTATAATTGAATTACGACCTTGGACAAAAAAATGCATTGGAATCCATTTAAATCTAGCTTAATTCTGTTCCTACTAATTTGTCTGATTGATAGGGAGTTAAAAAAATAGGGGTGTGCATCGGAACCGGGTACCCAAGTACTGGACAGTTTAGAGTCAGGACCAAGTTCCAGATTATGGGATCGGGTACCCGTAACCAACTTGACATATTACTAAGTAACTTCTCAGACAATGAAACAGAAAGGTTTTGAATGTGATTTATGGGCAATTTTCCAAATGAAAACAAAATCCATGATTTGAATGTTGGGATTGAGTTTCCTTTACGTGTACCCGTACCCGGGTACCCGTGTTTTACTATAATATAAAAAAGGACAGAGAATTCATTACTGAACAGTATTAACCCATTAGTCACTGTAGCGCCCAAATCTGCCTGAGCACACAATGGTATTATAGATTCTTCAGTAAGTAAACACAATGTAATACAATGTAATACAATGTATTACAGCTACTATGAAAAGTGCTCTCTTCCAGGCAACTGCTCAATGAAGCACTGTTTTGCAAATGTTCCTAAGAACCTTACCTCTCTAATTTTTGCAGCATGTCCGAGAACTCTCCCGTAAGCAGTTTCTCCTCCGTGCCCACATTCAGAAAGTGAGGCAGACGGCTGGACTGAGGGACTTAGTCATGTGAGGGGACACAAGTAATCATGGTATCATAGGCATGTGCTTGAAAGTCCATGGCTGAATTAGGTAATTATGTCTATGACTATGGCTAGTGGTTGTGGTGTGTTAATGGCAATAGCCAAAGCCACAACTGAAATGCTGGATTCAGGCTATACTGGTACCCACTACCCTATCCATATGCTGGTAATTGCTAATTTCATTTTGTTACAATTTTATGGTGGTGGATTACCCAGAATGCATTGTGTTTCCTTCAAAACATTTTGTGAAACGAATAAGCAATCACCGGTGACCAGTACAAGCAAAGCTAAGACTTACCGTGTGCAAATTATGACCACTTGAGGGCGCTCTTTACACATTTAGTAGATTCATGTCATCCAGTTTTGAGTTGAGTCAGAACTCCATTTTGCAAACTCTTGTAGATAAAGTTTGGTTGCTTTTTTTTGTTTAAAAGTGAATATTTAAAGGGGTATCTTTTTTTGCATTAATTAATGTAAGATTTCCAACTCTATTTTGCATTTGTAATGTCTAAAAGAATGCAGATTATTTGGGGTCAGTTAATTTCTGGAAATTTTTGTGTAAATATTTACACCTTTAAGATGGTCTTGGAGATGTCACAAATTATAAAACAGTTTTTGTAAATGCTATTGGTTTTGTGTAAATATTGTATATATTACATCTCTCTTTTATGAGCAAGAAAGAAATATATATTAATTGTACTGTGCATTTTAGCATGCATAAAATGCAAAAAGGATTAGGTTTTTCTCATCAAATCTTTTGGATCCAGAGGCATAAAGGTAGAAACTTTACTCCCCCGCCAACCTTCCAGAAGGGAAACAAATTGTCTCGGAAAATATTTAGTATCTGCCAACTAATTAACTTGAAAATTGGAAAAACTAAAAACTCTAATTGAGGTTTTGTTACTTTGTGGGTACACACCAACATTTTGGGAATTTGTCTTAAAAACTTTTGCTTATGGGTTAGGAAGTGGTTTACATTTTAACCAAGAACTGTATAAGGTCTGCTATAGTGAAAAGGTGGCTTATGTTTGACCTGTGAGTTAAAATATGCATTATTTGTAAATCAGATTTCAGTTTGTATGAACTGTTTTCTTATTTTAAAAGTTTTCATATTAATCCTATATTTACATTAGTTTATTGAAACTTTATGTCGTCATTGCAGAATAAAACATTCAGAATTCACACACATCTTGTAAAGTCATAAAGAAAAGATTGTGAATACAGCGGTTTTATTACTCAACAATAAATGTACTGTTAACTTTAAAACACCAATGAAGACAAAGGGTAGATTCCACAGACATTTCCTTTTTTTTAATTTTGGTATTTTTTTCCTACAAATCTACAGGGGTAAGGACGGGGTTAATACTTTAATATTGACCACAGACTGCTGTCCTTTGTTATGCAAATTTCTGTACAGTCTGCAGAGCCAACCACTGATCTTGATAGTAACTGAACTGCCTGCTACACACTGATTGTCCAATGTGCACTGAAGCAACTCTCGCATCATCTTCGATCCCAAAAATCATACCGGGATGTGAATGTATATCATCCTGAGATGATTTTTCCCCTATTAAACAACATTCTTTGGATATTGGCCACTCCTCGGAATAGGGTTGGTGAAATCGAAAAAGCTGGTTCGAAAATGTTATTCCTATTTTTGTTTTGCCTTTGCCACCTTAAACTCTGAGTAAAACGTGCGACGTTTTAAAATAAGTTTTAAATACTCATTACTGTCATTTTTTGAGGCAAAGATCAGAACCAGGCCAACTCACAAGGCTATCAATCATCCTGTAATTAGGTCCAGTCTGGAATCCTGAAAACAGGTGGGCCTCATCCTTTTAAGCTATATACATGTAGCCCTATGCTGCTGTTGTGGTTGGGGGGGGGGGTGATGGCAAGGCACAAACCAGGGAGATAAAAACTCGAACTTTTTCGCACGAGTACTGACCAAAAACAGTGTATTCTACACTTTTTTGCTTGAAATTGTTTTCTTGAGCAAGAGGGCCTCTATCCATTTATTTAGACACTTTGAGAAGGGATTTAATCCCCAAAAACGCATACTGAAGGGTTGTGTTCAAACGTTACACGCATGCCCCATCATACAGACAAGTTCAGTACTGTGGTGGATTACAACTAAAATAAAACGATAGCGCCTCACTGGGAAAAAAAACCTTGTCATGGGTCACCCAAGATGGCGAACGGCCTCTTCAGTGGAGTTGGCAGAGTATGCAGACCTGACAGACTTCCAAAGTGAGGCTGTCCTTGTGTTTGTAATAAACTATTCAATCATTGATTACAATAAAAAAGAGGCATGTGATTTGTAGACTCTTGCAAATCCTCTTCTGCGGAATGCCGCAGATACTCCGCAGACATCTCACTGAAGCTTGCCCTAATTTCTCTACATTTCCCACTTCTTAAAAGGTATTGATGTTGGTTTTGTGAACCCGTAATGGAACTGATGCTGTGGTAACATTCCATAATCAACACTGAAATCGGTTACTGTAGAAACACTACTTTGCAACAAGGTTAACATCAAAATGGCGTTGAATTAATCTCTCATAATTTAAATGTAATCACTGGTTTTTTTCTTGATCCAACTTAATCCACTTACATAATGCTGAAATTATTATTCCACAGACTAAACGATTTATGACAATTCACATGCAATTTGATAAATATAATTCCGGTTTTTTTACAAAACATGAGCACCTCCACTAAACATGAGAAAATCAATAAGAGAAAATAATCAGAGTTTTAAATATCATCTATTTACATCAACGTAATATATATATTAATAAATACATCATCGATATAAATATTGTTCATAGTGTGGCGCGCTCGCTTGTCTATGGATAAGGAATTACACCCACACCAACAAGAGCTGACTATCCCACAAAAATATTTAATGACCTTACATGCGCATGAGCGGTTACACGCAAATAAGGGGGGACTACGTCACGAACGGAGGATTCAAGTCCTAGGCCTGTCCGTTTGTTGGAAATATACCAACGCTAAAGGAATACCAGTTCACGTGGCAAGCAACCTAGAGGTGACCAGGGAACCTCAATAAACCTCACTACACATGTGTCTTAGAGAACAAGAAACAACTCTTTATTCGGTCCAATACACAGGCTTAAAGCTCAATGAGTGGCCAATAAACCTCGCAGAACAACGTTCCCCGCTGCTCTAGGTTTATCCTTATAAGTAAGCCTTACACAACAATAACCTCTTATTATACAATGCTTACAACAACCAGCCTAACCAGGCTCTATGTAATTAACCTCGTTGACTATCTAGAACGATTATCCCACAGTGGCAAGAACCTCACTGTGCACACCCAGTGCGATCAACAGCAACAAGTTATGAACTGCACACACTGATCAAGACTTTACCAGAGTAACCCTCACATGCAACCTAGCATACAGCAATCACTGGGCTCAGGTTACGGAGCGCGGTTTAGAACCCCGAGGTGACTCCTGGCGACAAAGGTCGACAGGCGACAGGCAACCCAATTCCCGACCAGGGAATACTGCTGCACATACCACACGAACCTTAGGTCTCCAGTCACCAGCTCAACCCACAGCCACCCAGGCTAATTTCCCCTTACAACAAAAGGTCTAGCTTGCTAATTATTACTCTAAAGTCTCACCATCCGCCTTCAACAGCACGCCGCGATGTCCACCCTTCCGATAACAGCGGCGAACATGCACGAGGTTAACTCAGTAATCGGCAATAATTGCGTTCCGAAGTTCACTCAACAGCGTCTGCAGACGGACTGCCTAAAATCTCTGACTACGCGCTATACCCTACGCACGACGTCGGGGAACCAGGCGAGCCATGGTAAACTCGCACCAGTCCACCGGCTGTTTCGCCACACAGGGCCCAGCAAAGCTTAGGCCGCCTCGGCCTAAACAGCTTAAAAATACATAATTAGAAACAGTGTGGACTACTTGTCCATTATACAAAATAACATACACCTCACTTGAGGTTTACTTATACAGTAAAAATAGTCCGCGAGGTTCACTAAATAGAATATACATTTAAAACACATAACACCATAAACCTTATTTAAAATACACATGCATAAAATAGAAACTTTATATAAAACATAATAGCCTAAACCTTGTTCAAAAACCGGTAGAAAAATATTCTCCTTTCTCTTTTCTTAATTAGAAGGATCACAAGTTGAATTAAGGAATTTTACACCATTGGAATGTTTGATTGGCAAGATTACAGTTTTTGTTCTTGGGGGATGGATGTCTAGTCGGCTGGCTCCACAGTGAACAGGTCCGCATCAACAGGCTGATTGTGCAATTCGACCCGTTCCTCCCGCTGTACGACTTGTCCGTCCAGGTGAACAACCTTGGAATGTCGTTCCTCCACCAGAGCGATCTTCAGGCGCTTCCCTCTATTCTATCGATATCTGACCGGAAGCTTATGCTCTCTCCTTGGATATCGTCTGGAAACCTCAACCTCCTCGTTAGGTCCATTACTTGTAACCTGTTGGTTGCTCGGGCGAGTCTCAGGCATCGCAGCGGACTCCATCCCATCTTGCCCCATATCACCACTTACAGTAGGGTCATCCGCAGCAACCTCATGTGCGTCACTTACAGCTGTCCCAATTTCAGCAACCTCGTGTGCGGTATCCTCAGAGCTTTCTGTCACTCTATTAGGTCGATACACCCACGGCTGCAAGTTGTCGCCAGAATAGGGCTTCAACCTATCTGCGTGAACCACGAGAGGCTTACTCCCTTTCCTCAACTGAACCCTGTAAGTTACATCGGACAACTTCCTCACGACCAAATATGGCCCCTCCCAGCGTAGCTGTAATTTAGGAGTGACACCCTTCTTCCTGGAATGGCTAAACAACCAAACAAACTGGCCCTCTTTCAGGCCTTCCCCAGCAACCTTGCGGTCGTAGTTTCGCTTCTGTCGGCGGGCACTCTGCTTCAGACACTCACTGGCCCGGCAATGAGCCTCCTGCAACCTACGTCGCAACTCCCAAGCAAAATCAGTCTCGACCACCTCCTCGACTTCAGGACACTCAACCATCAAATCAACAGGCAACGTCACCTCACGTCCCAACATCATCATGTTAGGTGACTCACCGGTGGATTCTTGTGGACTGCAACGGTAAGCAAAGGTCGCGTAGGGTAGACACTCGTCCCAGTCCCTCTGCTTCCTCTTAGGCTCAATCAGCATGGAAACAATGTTAACCAACGTTTTGTTGAAACGCTCTACCATCCCGTCAGATTTCGGGTTGTAAGCCGTCGTCCTCGTTTTCTTGATTCCTAGGACTCTACACATCTCTGCAAAAACTGCAGACTCAAAATTGCTCCCCTGATCAGAATGAAGCTCCCGCGGGACTCCAAAACGGCATACAAACTCAGTGACAAACTTCGATGCCACTGTCTTCGCCCTTGCATCGGGAAGTGGATAAGCCTCCATCCACTTGGAGCAATAGTCACCCACAACAAGAATCCACACATTTCCACTGTCACTCTGGGGCAGTGGACCCAGCAGGTCCAGAGCTACCCTCTCAACGGGAGCACCCACTCTGTACTGCTGCAAAGGAGAAACTCTCCTTTTCGATGGCGACTTCCGCCTCTGACACAATTCACAACATCGAAGGAAGGACCTCACATCGGCCGTCATGTTTGGCCAATAGTAACGTAACCTCACCTTGGCCAATGTTTTTCTCATGCCAAGATGACCACTCGTCCGTCCACCATGAAGTGCTTGCAGAACATTACTCCGGAGCTTTTCCGGCAACAACAACTGCCAGCGGATTGACCGACCATCATTGGATTCCCACCTTCGGCTCAGCATTTGTTGCCGCACCTCCATTTGAGCCCACATAGACCAAAGCGTCTTATGGGCCTTGGAAGTGTGTGAGACACTACTCCAGTCCGGCCGACCCCTCGCACCTTCCTTCGCCTCGATCAACCACCTCATATCGGGATCTGCCATCTGTGCCTCCCTCACTACTGCTTGAGATATATGAGGCTCAGCAAGAATTCCCCTCACTGCTGACTCGGCAACCTCAGAGACTCCTGAGACAGACTCTGTAGAAACCTCACAGGCCTCAACAGTTTCGGACACCTCACCAGGGTCTTCACTACGCCCACACTGCTTGCACTGCCTGCGGGACAGAGCATCAGCGTTGGCATGTTTCCGTCCAGGCCTGTGCTGAATTGACACGTCATACTC